GGCTGACTAGGCTACACTTGTTTGACCAGGCTATAATAGCCTGGGCTATAATCTGCCTGACTAGGCTTTAATTGTTTTGACTGGGTTATACTTGCCTTGACCAGACAATACTTGCCTTGACCAGACAATACTTGCCTTGACTAGACAATACTTGCCTTGGCTAGACAAAACCTGCCTTGACTGGGAACTCTTTGCCTTGACTGCCAATACGTGGCTTAGCTTGGTTTACCCTAGCTTGGCTTACCCTACCTTGCCCAGGCCTGGTCGGGATGGCATGGACTTGCCTAGCCTGACCTGAATTGGCTTGGATTCTCTGGGCTTGACCTGTACTTGCCTGACCTGACCTGGCGTGGATAGCCTAGGCTGGGCTTGACAGAGGCTTGGCAAAGCTTGGGTTGGCTTGGTTGAACATGGCCTGGCCTGCTTTCCATTTCTGGCTTGGTCTAGCTTTGCTTGGCTTGGCTTGGCTTGGCTTGGCTTGGCTTGACTTGGCTTGGTATGGTGTAGGTTGGCCTGTTTTGTTTTGTCTTATGCTTTGCTTTGACTGTCCTGGCAAGGCTTGGCTTTGTTTGATTTATCCTCTTGGCTTGCCTTGGATTGGCATGCATGGAGTTGTCTTGGCATGGCTTGGCATGGCCTGGATTGGCTTGGATGGACTATGTTTAGCAATGCTTGGCTTTGCTTGGCCTGGCCAGGCCTGGCTTGGTCTGGCCTGTCCTGGCCTGGCGATTCTTGGCTTGGCTAGGCTTGTCCTGGGTTGGACTGGTCGAGCCCGGCTTGGCATGGCTTTGCATGGCTTGGCTATGCTTTGCTTGGTTTGCCCTCCAACCTGGCTTGGCTTGGCTTTAATTTGCTTGGAATAGCTTTACTTGGGTTGGGCTGAACCTTGCTTTTCCTAGGCTTGGATCGACTAGGCTTGGCTCTGCTTGGCTAATCATGATGCATAAAAGAAGCGCTGTTGATTTATATTTCACGGTACATCCATGCATTGGACCGTATTCATTGTATCTAGACTTCAGAAAGAGATGGGAAACGTTTCATTCGAGCATGATGACACACATAAATCCTCCCCCTACTGGTACTTCCTCTGCGTCACACATTTGTTCTTCTGCCAGTCCCAGTTACTCTGGATCAGAAACCTCATGTTGTTCATCCCAACCAGATTGTACTTGTACGTTCCACCGCGGCTGTCCTTGCCCGTTTTCGTCTGACCAACGTCCATGTAACACTTGTCCGCATTCTCACCGTTCTCGTCGCCCCACCCGGTCTGAACATCTGGGTCCGTTGCTGCTTCCGCAATCTCATGAGAAATGGTTGAAAGCGTGAAATCGATCGCAGGGTTGCCGTTGGGAGACGGTTTCGGAATCCATTCTTCTTTGCACTGCCCGTGATGCCCCACGAACGAGAATACAACCGGCGATTCGGAATCGATGTAGCCCATGCTGTGCCACCCCATATACTCGGTACAGAAACCCGGGACGGTGACATCCTTGCTGGAAAGAAGCAGGTAGATGCCACTCGCGTCGTACGGAAACGGCTTTCCAGCGCCAATCTTGTTGGAAAGAACTGCAACAAGAGGAGGGCTTTTTAATAGTTCAGATTGTGACAGAAACGTATCCTGACTTGCTTACGGCAGTGCATAGTTGCTCAACGGCAGGTATCATCATGCTGGAAGAGGTGGAGTGGTGGAATGCTGCGAAATGCTGGAAGAGGCCGTGAAATGGTTTTGCTGTGCTGCGTACCTTCCCAAACCGTGTCTTTGCCAAAATCCTTTCCCGCCGAGTAGTTGTCACGGACAGTCCTGGCGAGGCGCACCTGGAATGAAACGAATGCAAAATAATTTGCATTTCATTAAGTTGATAGAGAGAGACGAGGCGCTTTATGGGAGGGGTGTTGTGGCAAAGTTATGGGAGGGAGTAGTGGCAACGTTTATGTGCAACACACCTTGCTGCTGACGTTCGTCTTTGTGCCGTCCTCTTCCTCCTGCGTGTAAGCCGCACTGATCGCCCACCAGCGCTTCACCTTGGGATCCGCGGGACTCCCCTGCCGCTGCGAGTCCGCGCTCAGCGATCTGATGAAATTCTCGATTATTTTCTGCCCCGATCCTGCCGGCCAGCTGCCGTAGTAGATGATGTACACGTTGATGGACGGGTTTCCGGTCATCACAGGCCCTCCTCCGTATGTTATTGGAGCGCTTGGATCTTCAGACGTGTGCACACGCGTGGTCGCGCCACGGCCGACAATGTCGGTCAGCTGGCGCTGACGGCGGTGCTCTTCGTGCGCCCGGGGCGTGCGCGCAATGCGTTGCTTACTAGTAAGCGGCGCACCGGCGGATGCGAGAGGGAGAGGTGAGAGGCAGACGAGGGAGAGGACAACGAGCAGCAGGGAGACGTTTCCCGTGAGTTTTGCCATTTAGACGGGCTGTTGGAGAGGCTGGGGTTCTTCAAGGCGGAAACATTAACAGGGATATATATGAATACTGTTAAATGCGGACGTGGAGTGATCAGAAACGGGATTTAAAACAGGTGCGAACAGGATGGGTGACGACCGAGGGAGGAAGGAATGCTGATAAGAAGCGATGAGAGTAGTCATTTATACCTCTGAGGATGGGTGCTCAAACACTTGCAGTGCTGGGGACGTGTGTTTGTTTCATGAATGTCACGATTCTTTTCCTTTCTTTTCTTCTCGGCACAGGGAGAAAGCATTTCCCCGCAATGTCAATGTCCAATGGTTTCGCGACTCGATTTCCCGGAAGGTGTTCGATGTAGCTGGCGGTGAGGGGTGGAAAACACGTTTTCCATTGTATGATTAACTAGACCGCTCTAAATCGTACAATAAAGCGCTGAGCCGCATTCAGAAGTACATTCGGGACCTGCCCCGAACCCACAAAATCGCGGCTCGATCTCCTCGAGGAAGTCCGAAACTCAGTATGGGTGTATCACCTACACTGCATATCCCTAGTCCAAATCGAGTACGTTATGCATTAGAAATTGCTTCTAATACAAGTAGCAAAACGATGCATATATGCTAACCAACATCAAGAGTTCCATTGAACAACAGGCATTGGACTGAATACCCAATCGCAATTTTATGCCCTGCGGACAATTTTTGGTATTACACATCAATGCCTTGTTTCTGAAGACACGCCTCTCCACGTGCTCACATGTTGGTCTGTCTACCTAACCTCACAAAAGCATTTACCACCGAATACATATTTACAAGTTAAAATCCCGCCTGTTTCAACTACTGAAGGCCTTCTCATGCTGGCGATAACCCTGCCACTACTAACTTAGACCCTTCAACGTTCCACGCATTGGTACCCCCCTTACATCAGCTATAATATTTTGTTTATCTTCAATCACCACCAAAATATGCACACTACAGTACAGAGAGACAACGATGAGTCGCCACTCTCACTCAAGAGCTCCTTGCTCTTGAGTCTTCAATTCTTCACATCCCCGTGCTTCCTGTACAAACACACAAATTATACAAAACGTTACATACCTCCACCTATCCCATCGTTTTTACCACCACCCACCGGCCCGTACCCCCCAACTCTCTGAAAACCACCCTCCCCTGCCGCCCATCCTCCCTGCCAACCATTGTCCCCATCACCTTCTAAAACGTTGCGTACCTTCACCTCTCACACTCTTTACCACCACCCTGTACCCCAACCCTTTATGAACCACCTTACCACCTTATACGCAACACCATACCACCTTACAGTCTTACATCCACTGCCCACAGGAGAGGACTACAGGGCCTGCCAATCCCCACGTAATCCTCCCTGCCGCCTATCCTCCCTGCCGCCCAACCTCCCTGCCGCCCATCCTCCCTGCCGCCCATCCTCCCTATCATTCATCTTCCATGTCACACACCATCCGCACCATCTCTTCACAGGGGTTCTACCTGAACTTCCTGTGGCTGTCTGTGCCCCGCCGCTCACACACCTGTCCCCTAAAATCTCTGCTCAATGCTGGTCAGAATTAGCACCGCACCAAGTGCCAGCAACACATCTCAGCAACCCCGTCGCTGGTCAATGCTGGTCAATGCTGGTCAACGCCAGCGCCCAGTCAGCCCAAGACCCTCATAGAACCAGAACTTTCACAAACTGGGGGAAGGACGTGTTTCCTGCAGCAAGGGGCGCCCCCAGCTGCCTCTTACTCCCAACCACACATGCCAGCGCCCTCTCATCGCTGGTCAACGCCGGTCATCGCAGGTCAGCCCTTCTCATCCAGTACAAGCCACTCACAGAACCAACCCCTTTACAAACTGAGGGAAGGATGTATCCCCTGCAGCAGGGGGCGCCCCCAGCTGCCCCTTACTCCCGCCCCCACACGCCAGCACCCTGCCATCACTGGTCAACGCCAGCATGTGAGCGTCAAAGTGGCCGGCATTCGACGTACTTATCTGCACCACCGTACCCCTTCTGCTGCTGCTGCTACCGCCTGTAGCATTGCCGGCGCTCCTCATGCCGTTTCCATTGCTGTTGCTGATGTTGGTGTTGGTGTTGTTGCTGCTGCTGTTGCCGCCGGGGCTATTAAGGCCGGAGCTGCTGCTGCTGCTGGCAACGTTGCTGCTACCAACACTACTACTGACAATACTGCTCATCCAGTCACTCAAGCTCACAGCCATGGCATCACTACTGCCACTCCCACTCGCATCGCTACCACTCAAACTGCCACTACCGTTCCCAGAGCTACTGGTAACCACAGACAAGAGCGGTGTTTCAGGAGTGACGGCACCAGAAGGACCAGATCGATCAGCAGCAGTAGCAGCAGCAGTGGCAGTAGCAGCAGCAGCAGTGGCAGTAGCAGCAGCAGCAGTGGCAGTAGCAGCAGCAGTGGCAGTAGCAGCAGCAGCAGCAGTGGCAGTAGCAGCAGCAGCCGCAGTAGCAGCAGCAGCTGCAGCGTCAACAGCAGGAGCAGGAATCGTTGCAGGGTCGATTCCTCGTCCCCCAGTGGCAGCAGCAGGCAGACTGCCCCACGTGAACACCCCTCTCACACCCGCCCTTGCACTGCCAGGTCCCCCGCCTAGCAGCGTAGGGTCTGAGCGAGGGGCAGCAGTAGGAGTTGCAGCAGCAAGAGGGGTGGCAGCAGCAGGGAGAGCAATCAGGTTGGCAGTAGACGCAAGTGCTGCAGAATCATCAGCAGCATCAGCACCAGCAGCATCAGCAGGAGCACCAGGAGCAGCAGGAGCAGCAGGAGCGGCAGGAGCGGCAGGAGCAGCAGGAGCAGCAGGAGCGGCAGGAGCAGCAGGAGCAGCAGGAGCAGGAGCCGGGGCAGTGGGAAGAGGAGCCGGGGCAGTGGGAAGAGGAGCCGGGGGGTGGGCAGCTCGCTCCTCCAATAGAGACACCCGCCTGGGCTGCATCACATCCCGGTTGCGCCTCCGGTGCTGCCGCAGCTGGGAGAATGTGGGGGGAGTGGGCAGTGTAAGGGAGAGGGAAGAGCAAGAGGGGTAAGAGAAGCGGGTAGCTCGCTCCTCCAGCAGAGACACCCGCCTGGGCTGCATCACATCCCGGTTGCGCCTCCGGTGCTGCCGCAGCTGGGAGAATGTGGGGGAAGTGGGCAGTGTAAGGGAGAGGGAATGCAGGAGGGGTAAGAGAAGCAGGGGAATGAGCAGCTCAGAGACATCCGCCTGGGCTGCATCACATCCCGGTTGCGCCTCCGGTGCTGCCGCAGCTGGTGTGGTGAGGGGGGGGGGGGGGGGGGGGGGGGAAGAAGAGAAGAGGCCATTGTTTGTGGCAAACAGCGAAAACAGGCACTTCAGGGAGGTGGTCAAACGCGTTCATGCAAAACAGCACGGATCCATATTTTTTAAGAAGGGTTTTGAGACGTCTCAACACTCTTCTTCAAACGCGTTTATGCGTTCATGCAAAACAGCATGGATCCATATTTCCTATAAAAGAAAGAAAGAAGGAAAGAAAGAAGGAAAGGAAGGAAGAAAGAAGGAAAGGAAGGAAGAAAGAAAGAAAGAAAGAAAGAAAAGCACCCACCACGATGTCATGCAAGTCCGCATCGTCCACCTCCCCGTCTTCTTCGTACTCTCCTTCTGCCATGACCCATGACCCTACACCCACCACACTACTCACCACGATATCGTGCAGATCAACATCATCGATCTCTTCGCCTTCCTCCTCTTCCTCCCTCTCCCACCCGCCCCCATGCCCCAAACACGCGCTCTCCGCGCTCCCAAACGACCACACCTCGCCGCCCTCCCCCACCACAAACGTCGTGTAATCCCCTGCTGCCACGTGGCATGCTTTCACAGCCGGACGGAGCTTGCGACGTGAACCGTGCGAGTCATCCTTGCTGAAACCCGCCCCAGCTCCAGATGGAGAAACAGCAGCAGCAGAGGGAGAAGCAGCAGAAGCAGAGGTAGAGGCAGCACCACCAGAACCAGCAGCATCATTAGCACCAACGCCAACACCGCCCCTTCCACTCACCCCACTACTCCTACCCCCCTCCTCCTCCGTTTTACACAAGCTCTCAATAACCCTGGGCAGCGTTTCACACTGGTCCTTCCCATGCCCCAGGCACCCATGCCTGCCCCACCCCCACGTGGCAACTCTCCCGTCAGCAGCAACAGCAGCAGCATGCCATGCGCCTGCAGCAACGGCTGTGGGGGTGAACTCTAGGGTTTTAAAGTGTGCGATCTCTTTCGGGCGGCGTTCGTCGTACTTTGTGCCGTGGCCTAGCTTGCCGCCCAGACCACAGCCAATGGACCAGACAGACCTGAGGAAAGGAGGGGAGAAGAGAGAGAAGGAAGGAAACTGGTGGGAGACAAATAACCTAGCTTATCAACGAAACGAACAGCTTCCCATCCTGTAGTGCAGCGTAGTAATAACTTGGAGAATTGGGAAGCTTACACAAAACTCCGTCCTAATACAAGTGTGACCACTACACACATTTTCCAAACACCAACTAAGAAGCACCGTTCTCTTTAAGCCCATCTTCGATCAATAATTCAGCTGATGTTGTTGCACTAGCATTCAGCCGAGCACTAGCATTCAGCCGAGCACTAGCATTCAGCCGAGCACTAGCATTCAACCGAGCACTAGCATTCAGCCGAGCACACATGGATGACAGGTCACAGGACATGGCAGAGAAGTCAACACGAGCAAGCAGCAGTGCCCCTCCTGCTTGCTATCTGCACCGTTCTGTACCATGGCCAATACCATTCTGTCCACGGCTCATCACACCACTGCGCGAATCACTAGGCTCAAATGCCATAAGGCTCGTTGGCACAAGTCAATCCCAGCAGTTACCAGCGCCCCCCTGCTATCTGCACCACTGATCTCACCACAGGACACCACTGGGAGTATCACGAGCCTCACCTGCCGTGGGGCTCCTTGGCGCAAGTCAACCCGAGCAGGTAACAGTGTCCTCCTGCTATCTGCACCACTGGTCTCACGCTCACCACAGCACTGAACTGAGCACTAGCCTGACCTGCCGTGAGGCTCGTTGGCGCAGGTCAACCCGAGCAGGTAGCAGTGCCCTCCTGCTATCTGCACTAATGGGAGAGACACTAGGAAAATATCTAACGTTTTAATAATCATGTATATTTGATGTTTCCGGATCTCAAATTTTCAACTGATTCGCAGCAAACTTTCTAAAATACGTGTTGCGTAGGCTTTGAATCATTGAAGGTGACGCAGCACCAACTCGACATGCAATTACTAGTCGACGCAAAAATATTTTGATTTTGTTCCATTTGATTTATCTGTAATTCTCTCTCTATTCCTCCACTCTAAATTCTCTTATGTCCCCTATAGCTGCTCTTTCGTCCCTTATAGCCAAGCATCCACCCCCTCTGTTCCCTTGAGCTGCCCACACCCTCCCTAAGCTTCCTCAAACCCCCCGTCCAACTCTCCTCGCCTCAGCCCCCTCCAGTGTTCCCCTGTCAGATCTGCAGGTATAAAAGCATTCAACAGCAAAGTCCTCTGTGTAGGTTCCTCAAAAGTTTCTGCAAAGGGTGGGGCGATGAGGGCCAAAGGAAGAAGATTGGGGACCATCACTTTTTTATTTTCCTTGCCTGTCCTGACCAGGAATGGCTTGGATTGTCCTAGCATGACCGCTGTCTAGGCTTGGCTTGGCTAGGCTTGGCTCAGATTTGTTTGGCTAGGCTTGGCTTGGGGTGGCTTGACTTTCTAGTCATCGCATGGCTTGGCTTGGTCAATATTGGCTTGAACTAGCATAGCCCTGCCTGGCTAGGCTGGGCTAGGCTTGGCTTGGATTGGATTGGATCGGCTTGTCCTAGGCTGTACTGATCTGGCATGGCTTTGGCTTGGCCTGGCCTAAGGTTGGCTTAGCCTAGCTTGGCTTTGCCTGGCTTTGATTTGGGTGGCGTGGATTGGCAGGAGTTTGCGTGCCTTGAAATGGCTTTTCCTTGCTTTGCTTAACCTGGTTTGGCTTTTCTTGACTTGGCCCGGTCTGGCTGGCTTTTCTTGAACTTGTTTGGCTTGGCCTGGACTGGTTGCGCATGGCTTGGCTTGGTGTGGCTTGGTTTGGTTGGTGTGGCTGGACATGGTTTGGCATGGAATAGCCTACCCTGATCTGGTTTGTAATGGCTTGGATTGGCTCGGCTTGGCATGGCTTATATTGACTTGACTAGCTTGACTAGCTTGACTAGCTTAGGCTCGCTTTACTGGCACGGCTACATATGGTTACGCCTATACACGTATGGCCTGGCTTGGCTTGGCTTAGCTTGGCTGATTTGGTCCGGTATGGCTTAGTCAGGCCGGGCTTGCCGTGGCTTGGCTTGGCTTGGCTTGGCTTGGCTTGGCTTGTCATGGCTTGGCATGGCTTAGCTTGGCTTGTCTTGGCTTGTCTTGTCTTGTCTTAGCTTGGCTTGGCTTGGCTTGGCTTGGCTTGGCTTGGCTTGGCTTGGCTTGGCTTGGCTTGGCTAGCCTGGTCTGGCATGGCATGGCTTGGTCTAGTCTAGCCTGGGTTGGCATGGCTTGGCTTGACTTAGCCAATATTTGCTGTATGGTTGGATTAGCCTGGGTAAGCCTGGGTTAGTCTGGGTTGGCATGACCTTGGCATGGCGTGGCCTGACTTGAATGACTTGGTTGGACATGGTTCGGCCTGGCTTGGTCTATGTCATGATAGCTGGAAATCTTGCTAAAGTAACAGTAACCAGGGGTGGCAACAATGTCTCTGGTAAGAAGCAGCAAGTAAATGCCATGCGGATGGATCGTGCTCAAAGGCCAACCCTCTTCGAAACAACCGCGACAGAACGAGGGCTTTGAATGGTAGCGACAGATCTTGGATTCTTGGAAGAGGCGAACGATCATCTTTAAGACCCCCCTTCCTGGAGACCCCCCTTCCTGGAGACCCCAAGGTGACTTTTGAGTCGACTCAAAAGGCAGATCTTGGATTGTTGGAAGACGAGGCGAAAGATCATCTCCAAGACCCCCCTTCGTGGAGACCCCCCTTCCTGGAGACCCCAAAGGGATGCGCGACTGCATTTCACAGAGATGGCTCGGGACTTACAGAATTGCTCGGCTCTGCTTGAATAGCCTTGAATTTGGCCGGACCTTGCCTGGCTGGGATTTGGCTTGCCTTGGCATGGCCAGGCGTGGCTTCAACTTGCCTAGCATACCCTAACTTGGCATGGCTTGTCTTGGCTTGGCTTTTCCTTTCTAGGATTGACCGGGCCTGGCTGCTTGGCTTGGTAAATTGGATTGGCCTGGCCTTCCCTAGCCCGGCTTGGCATGGCATGGCTGAGCTTGGCTTGCCTTGGTTGGACGTGGCATGCCCTGGTCTAGCCTAGTTTGGCCTGGATTTTCTTGGCTGGGTTTGGAGGCTTGTCCTGATCTTTCCAAACCTATCTTGGCTTGGCTTAACCTAGCCTGGCCTAGCCTGGTCTTGGCTGGATTTGGTCTGGCTTGCCTTTGCTGGCTTGCTTTTCAAACTTTTCATCTGAAATAGCCGGGCCTGGCCTGGCCACCATGGCTTGAACCTGGAAAGCAGCACTGATGAAGGCTTAGCAGGGCTCTGTCCCGTTTGGCCGAAACTAGTTTGCGACTAAGGGTTTTTTCGAGGTTTGGAAGCTTTGAGATTTTCTTGACTTCCTGGGAACAATATCTCACGTTTTGATCCTATTTCTTAGCGTTTTCTCTAAGTTTGCTGCTACTCCCGACATAAATCTTACATCTTTCCATCTGAAATAGCGGGGCCTGGCCTGGCCACCATGGCTTGGATTGACCTGGTTAGGCTTGGTTAGCCTGGGCTGGCATGGCTTAGATTGCCTTGGCTTGGATTCGCTATTCCAGATTGGTTCTACATGTTTTTCCCTTGTCTGCCCTTGTCTGGCATGGCGGAAAATGGCTTACAATGGCTTACAACGGCTTACAATGGCATGCCTGGTTTGTACCTACCTGCCTTTCATGGACATGGAATGGTCTGGCCTGTACCTGCTTGGTAGGTTATACCTGCCTTGACTAGGCTATACTTGGCTGACTAGGCTATACTTGCCTTGACTAAGCTATACTTGCCTTGACTAGGCTATACTTGCCTTGACTAGGCTATACTTGCCTTGACTGGGCTATACTTGCCTTGACTAGGCTATACTTGGCTGACTAGGCTATACTTGCCTTGACTAGGCTGTACATATACTTGCCTTGACTAGGCTATACTTGCCTTGAGTAGCTATACTTGCCTTGACTAGGCTATACTTGCCTTGACTAGGCTATACTTGGCTGACTAGGCTATACTTGGCTGACTAGGCTACACTTGTTTGACCAGGCTATAATAGCCTGGGCTATAATCTGCCTGACTAGGCTTTAATTGTTTTGACTGGGTTATACTTGCCTTGACCAGACAATACTTGCCTTGACCAGACAATACTTGCCTTGACTAGACAATACTTGCCTTGGCTAGACAAAACCTGCCTTGACTGGGAACTCTTTGCCTTGACTGCCAATACGTGGCTTAGCTTGGTTTACCCTAGCTTGGCTTACCCTACCTTGCCCAGGCCTGGTCGGGATGGCATGGACTTGCCTAGCCTGACCTGAATTGGCTTGGATTCTCTGGGCTTGACCTGTACTTGCCTGACCTGACCTGGCGTGGATAGCCTAGGCTGGGCTTGACAGAGGCTTGGCAAAGCTTGGGTTGGCTTGGTTGAACATGGCCTGGCCTGCTTTCCATTTCTGGCTTGGTCTAGCTTTGCTTGGCTTGGCTTGGCTTGGCTTGGCTTGGCTTGACTTGGCTTGGTATGGTGTAGGTTGGCCTGTTTTGTTTTGTCTTATGCTTTGCTTTGACTGTCCTGGCAAGGCTTGGCTTTGTTTGATTTATCCTCTTGGCTTGCCTTGGATTGGCATGCATGGAGTTGTCTTGGCATGGCAGGGCATGGCCTGGATTGGCTTGGATGGACTATGTTTAGCAATGCTTGGCTTTGCTTGGCCTGGCCAGGCCTGGCTTGGTCTGGCCTGTCCTGGCCTGGCGATTCTTGGCTTGGCTAGGCTTGTCCTGGGTTGGACTGGTCGAGCCCGGCTTGGCATGGCTTTGCATGGCTTGGCTATGCTTGGCTTGGTTTGCCCTCCAACCTGGCTTGGCTTGGCTTTAATTTGCTTGGAATAGCTTTACTTGGGTTGGGCTGAACCTTGCTTTTCCTAGGCTTGGATCGACTAGGCTTGGCTCTGCTTGGCTAATCATGATGCATAAAAGAAGCGCTGTTGATTTATATTTCACGGTACATCCATGCATCGGACCGTATTCCTTGTATCTAGACTTCAGAAAGAGATGGGAAACGTTTCATTCGAGCATGATGACACACATAAATCCTCCCCCTACTGGTACTTCCTCTGCGTCACACATTTGTTCTTCTGCCAGTCCCAGTTACTCTGGATCAGAAACCTCATGTTGTTCATCCCAACCAGATTGTACTTGTACGTTCCACCGCGGCTGTCCTTGCCCGTTTTCGTCTGACCAACGTCCATGTAACACTTGTCCGCATTCTCACCGTTCTCGTCGCCCCACCCGGTCTGAACATCTGGGTCCGTTGCTGCTTCCGCAATCTCATGAGAAATGGTTGAAAGCGTGAAATCGATCGCAGGGTTGCCGTTGGGAGACGGCTTCGGAATCCATTCTTCTTTGCACTGCCCGTGATGCCCCACGAACGAGAATACAACCGGCGATTCGGAATCGATGTAGCCCATGCTGTGCCACCCCATATACTCGGTACAGAAACCCGGGACGGTGACATCCTTGCTGGAAAGAAGCAGGTAGATGCCACTCGCGTCGTACGGAAACGGCTTTCCAGCGCCAATCTTGTTGGAAAGAACTGCAACAAAGGAGGGCTTTTTAATAGTTCAGATTGTGACAGAAACGTATCCTGACTTGCTTACGGCAGTGCATAGTTGCTCAACGGCAGGTATCATCATGCTGGAAGAGGTGGAGTGGTGGAATGCTGCGAAATGCTGGAAGAGGCCGCGAAATGGTTTTGCCGTGCTGCGTACCTTCCCAAACCGTGTCTTTGCCAAAATCCTTTCCCGCCGAGTAGTTGTCACGGACAGTCCTGGCGAGGCGCACCTGGAATGAAACGAATGCAAAATTATTTGCATTTCATTAAGTTGATAGAGAGAGACGAGGTGCTTTATGGGAGGGGTGTTGTGGCAAAGTTATGGGAGGGAGTAGTGGCAACGTTTATGTGCAACACACCTTGCTGCTGACGTTCGTCTTTGTGCCGTCCTCTTCCTCCTGCGTGTACGCCGCGCTGATCGCCCACCAGCGCTTCACCTTGGGATCCGCGGGACTCCCCTGCCGCTGCGAGTCCGCGCTCAGCGATCTGATGAAATTCTCGATTATTTTCTGCCCCGATCCTGCCGGCCAGCTGCCGTAGTAGATGATGTACACGTTGATGGACGGGTTTCCGGTCATCACAGGCCCTCCTCCGTATGTTATTGGAGCGCTTGGATCTTCAGACGTGTGCACACGCGTGGTCGCGCCACGGCCGACAATGTCGGTCAGCTGGCGCTGACGGCGGTGCTCTTTGTGCGCGCTGGGCGTGCGCGCGATGCGCGGCGCACCGGCGGATGCGATGAGGAGAGGCGAGAGGCAGACATGTGAGAGGACAACGAGCAGCAGGGAGAAGTTTCCCGTGAGTTTTGCCATTGCGACTGGCTGTTGGAGAGCCTGGGGCTCTTCAAGGCGGAAAAATAAATGGCGGAGATGCTAGCGCGAGTTGCTCTTGGGATCAACCGAGATAATTATATGAATACTATGCGGACGTGGAGTGATCGGAAACGGGAGTCCAAACAGGTGCGAACAGGATGGGTGACGACCGAGGGAGGAAGGAATGCTGATAAGAAGCGCTGAGAGTTGACATTTTTACCTGACCACGGCGGTCTAACACTTCCAGTGTTGGGGACGTGTGTTGGTTTTATGAATGTCACGACGATTGTTTTCCTGCCTTTTCTTCCCGGCACAGAGAGAGCATTTCCCCGCAATGCCAATGTCCAGTGGTTTCGCGACTCGATTTCGCGGAAGGTGTTCGATGTGGGTGGCGGTGAGGGTGGACAACACGTTTTCCATTGAATGTTTCAGCAGACCGCTCTCAACCGCATTTAGAAGTGCCTTCGCGACCTGCCCCGAACCCACAGAATCGCGGCTCGACATCCTCAAGCCAGTCCGAAAATCATCGTGGGTTCATCACCTACACTGCATTTCCCTAGTCCAGAATCGAGTACGTTATGCAATAGAGCTTGCTGTTAATACAAGTAGAAAAACATCAAGTTGCTCTTACTGCTGTTATATGCTAACCAGCATCAAGGGTTCAATTGAATAACGGCCATTGGATGTAAAGCACCGAATGAAAAAAACAATCATTTTCCTAAGAGAAACCGGTCGCCTCCATTCTGAGGACACGCCTCCCCGTGTGCACCTTTTGTAAGCTCCCCTCTTTCTGAGTCATGGCTTCTCTATGCCTAATATTGCTAAATTTGATTGACTTGCCTTGTCCTAGCCTCTCCTCGCCCAGCACACCATGGCTTAGCATGGTATGGCAGGCATTCTTGAGGGGGGGTGGGGGGGGCTACTCCCATGGGCACAGGTAGGATACGACCTGTTAGCCCACAGAAAAGCATTTACCACCGAATACATATTTACAAGTTAGATCCCCAAGGTCTTATCACGCAGACAGTTTTCTCCTATAACCCTGCCACTACCGTACCAACTTCGACCCTCCAAAGTAAATTGGCACCCCCTAGATCAGCTAAACTATTTTGTCCATGTTCAATCACCCCCAAAATGTACACACCACACAGAGACGACGAGCCGCCAGTCGCACTCAAGAGCTCCTTGCTCTTGGGTCTCGAGTCTTCACATCCATCCCTCTGCTTCCTGTACAAACTCACAAACTATACAAAGTGTTACGTACCTCTTACATACCTCCACCTCTCCCATCCTTTTTCACCCCGCCCCATACCCCAACCCTCTGACAACCACCTCTCGCCTGCCAACTGTTGTCCCCGCCACCTTCTAAAGCGTTGCGTATGGTACCTTCACCTCTCCCATCGTTTTAAACCACCACCCTGTGCTCCAGCCCTCTGACAACCTGACTCTTTGAGTTTACTAAATGAACATACCTGCACCTCTCAAATGATCTTTACCACCGCTCTGTACCCCCCAACCCTGTGACAACCACCACCTTACTACCCTATACGCAACACCATACCACCGTACTGTCTTATATACAACGCCTTCTCAAACCCGGAAAAGACTCCAGGCCCTCCGTCATCTCCTGTTTATCCTCCCGTTATTCCTCCGTGCCGCCCATCCTCCGTGCCGCCCATCCTCCTTGCCGCCCATCCTCCCTATCATTCTCCATATCACACGTAATCCACACCATCTCCACCATCTCTTCCCAGAGGCTCTCTGCCTGAACCTCCTGTGGCTGGCTGTGCAGCACTGCTTACACACTTGTCCCCTGCAATCTCAGTCCATCCAAGGCCGGTCAATGATGGTCAATGTTGGCTGGCACAAAGTGCCAGCAACACATGTCAGCAACACCCATCGTTGGTCAACGTTGGTCAACGCTGGTCAACAGCACTCATCCAGCCCAAGACCCTCACAGAAGCAGCCCTTTCACAAACTAAGGAAAGGACGTATTCCCTGCAGCAGGGGGTGGCCCCAGCTGCCCCTTACTCCCGCCCCCACATGCCAGCACCCTGCCGTTCCTGGTCAACTCTAGTCAACGCAGATCAACGCCACTCTTCCAGCCAATGACACTCACAGTAGCAGCCCCTTAACGAACTGGGGGAACGAGGTATCCCCTGCAGCAGGGGGCGCCCCCAGCTGCCCCTTACTCCCGCCCCCACATGCCAGCGCCCTGCCGTTCCTGGTCAACTCTAGTCAACGCAGGTCAACGCCACTCTTCCAGGCAATGACACTCACAGAAGCAGCCCCTTCACGAACTGGGGGAACGAGGTATCCCCTGCAGCAGGGGGCGCCCCCAGCTGCCCCTTACTCCCACCCCCACATGCCAGCACCCTGCCATCACTGGTCAGTGCCAGCATGTGAGCGTCAAAGTGGCCGGCATTCGATGTACTTATCTGCACCACTGTACCTCTCCTGCTGCTGCTACCGGCTGCAGCGTCGCTGGTGCTCCTGTTGCCATTTCCGTTGCTGTTGCTGCTGTTGCTGTTGCTGTTAGTGTTGCTGCTGCTGTTGCCGAAGGGGCTATCCGGGCCAGAGTTGCTGCTGCAGGCTATACTGCTCATCCACTCACTCAAACTCACAGCCATAGCGTCACCGCTGCCACTGCCACTCCCACTGTCAGCGCTGCTGGTGATTACCGGTGATATAGAAATGACGTGATCAGCAGGACCAGTAACATCAGCAACAGCAGCAAAAGCAGCAGCAGCAGTAGTAGTAGTATTAGCAGCAGTATTAGCAGCAGAAGCAGTGGTGGCATCAGCAGCAGCATATGGAGTTGTTGTAGAATCTCTCCCTCGTCCTGCAGTGGCAGAAGCGGGCAGACTACCCCACGTAAACCGCCCTCTCACGCTGCCCCTTGCACCGGCAGGTCCCCGGCCTAGCTGTGTGGCGGCAGCACCAGTGGCCGCAGCAGGACTTGCAGCATCAGGAGGGGTGGCAGCAGAAGCAGGAACAAGCGGGCTGGCAGAAGCCTGGAGTGCTGCAGAAGCATCAGCAGCATCAACAGCAGGACTAGCAGCAGGAGCAGCAGCAGGTGCAGGAGGGGGCAGAGGAGCAGGGGGGTGGGCAGCTCGCTCCTCCAGCAGAGACACCCGCCTGGGCTGCATCACATCCCGGTTGCGCCTCCGGTGCTGCCGCAACTGGGAGAATGTGGGGGGAGTGGGCAGTGTAAGGGAGAGGGAAGAGCAAGAGGGGTAAGAGAAGCAGGTGGGTGGGTAGCTCGCTCTTCCAGCAGAGACACCCGCCGCGGCTGCATCACATCCCGATAGCGCCGCCGGTGCTGCCGCAACTGATGAGGGTTGGGGAAAAAGAGGGGGATGAAGTGGGAGTGAGGGGTAAGAGAAGCAGGTGGGTGGGTAGCTCGCTCTTCCAGCAGAGACACCCGCCTCGGCTGCATCACATCCCGATAGCGCCACCGGTGCTGCCGCAACTGATGAGGGTGTGCGGAGTGTGGATGTGTGGGGTGAGAAGGATAGGGATGAAAGAAGAGGTCATTGTGTGTGGTGCGTTGGGGGGAGTGAGGGGGCGCGGGTGATGAAGCATGAATTGATAAAATCTTAGCCCTTATCAGCACATGCACATTCCACATAGAAAACAGGGCAAACAGACATTTCTGGGAGGAGCTGGAACGTGTTTGAGGCAACAAGACGTGCCAAAAAGGCTTCAAAAGAAAAAGAAAAAAGACCCACCACGATGTCGTGAAGATCAGCATTGTCTATCTCGTCGCCTTCCTCCTCCTCCTCCTCCCTCTCCCCCCCCACCCCCATTCCCAAAACATGTAACCTCAGCGCTCCCAAACGACCACCACACCTCGTCTTCATAATAAAACCACACATGCATTTGTCCCCATGACCCTAAAACAACTACTCACCACGATATCATGAAGATCAGCATCGTCAATCTCCTCCCCTTCCTCCTCCTCCTCCCTCTCCCACCCGCCGCCATGCCCCAAACACGCGCTCTCCGCGCTCCCAAACGACCACACCTCGCCGCCCTCCCCCACCACAAACGTCGTGTAATCCCCTGCTGCCACGTGGCATGCTTTCACAGCTGGGCGGAGCTTGCCACGTGAGCCGTGCGATTCATCCCTGCTGGCAGCTGCGTCTGATCCAGAGGGAGAAGCAGCAGAAGCAGAGGTAGAGGCAGCACCACCAGAACCAGCAGCATCATTAGCACCAGCGCCAACACCGCCCCTTCCACTCACCCCACTACTCCTACCCCCCTCCTCCTCCTCCGTTTGACACAAGCTCTCAATAACCCTGGGCAGCGTTTCACACTGGTCTTTTCCATGCCCTAGACACCCGTGCCTGCCCCACCCCCACGTGGCAACTCTCCCGTCAGCAGCAACAGCAGCAGCATGCCACGCGCCCGCAGCAACGGCTGTGGGGGCGAACTCTAGGGTTTTGAAGTGCGCGATTTCTTTCGGGCGGCGCTCGTCGTACTTTGTGCCGTGGCCTAGCTTGCCGCCCAGACCACAGCCAATAGACCAGACAGACCTGAGGAGGCGAGGGGGGAAGCGGGGGAACAGGGGAGAAGAGAGCAGGGAGGGAAGCAGAAGTGGAAGAAGAAAAAACGGCTGTGATCTTGTGTGCCACTGCCTGCCCCACCCCCACGTGGCGACTCAACCGTCAGCAGCGACAGCATCATCATGCCACGCGCCCGCAGCAACAGCTGTGGGGGCGATCTCTAGGGCTTTGAAATGCGAGATCTCTTTCGGCAGCGTTCGTCGTACTTTGTGCCGTGGCCCAGCTTGCCGCCCAGACCACAACCTATGGACCAGACCGACCTGAGGAAAGGAGGGGGGAGAGAGAGGAGGGGTTTTGACGAGGGGGCAGGAAAGAGGGGATGGGCGGGGGAAGAGATGGTGGTAAGACCACTAGAGTGCTGTGGCCTAGCTTGCCGCCCAGACCACAACCTATGGACCAGACCGACCTGAGGAAAGGAGGGGGGAAGAGAGAGGAGGAAGGAAACGGGTGTGTGACGTAGCCTAACTTTTCAACGAAAACTACCAGCTTCCCATGCTAGTGTAGTAATTCCGCCCGAGCAAGTGGCAGTGCCTCTCTTGCTTGCTATCTGCACCGTTCTGTGCCATGGCATGGCCAATACCATCTGTACACGGCTCACCACACCACACCACACCACACCACACCACACCACACCACACCACACCACACCTATCACGGGGCACACTTGCCGTAAGTTGCAATGCCCCCCTGCTATCTGCACCACTTGTCCCACCACACCACATCAAACCTCACAACACCACACCACACCACACCACACCACATCACACCCCACCACTAGGCGTATCACCAGCCTCACCTGCCGTGAGGTTCCTTGGCACAAGTCAGTCCCAGCAGGTAGCAGTGTCCCCCTGCTATCTGCACCACTGGGAGAGACACTATTGCGCCACTAAGCTTATCACTCACATTACTACTGTGTGCGCACACCTGTCGACTCAAAAGTCAACTCACCTGCCGTGACGCTCGTTGGCGCAGGTCAACCCGAGCAGGTAGCAGTGCCCTCCTGCTATCTGCACCACTGGGAGAGACACTATCCCGCCCTCCTCCTCCTCCTCCTCTTCTTCTTCCCACTCCTCTCCCCCTTCCGCCTCCATATTCTCCATCTCCGTACGTGTTTCACCACTCTTGCAGCTGCCACAGCCAGCACTACCAGCACCAGCAGCACCAGCACCACTAGCACCATCACCACTTGCACCATCACCACTTCCCACACTACTGCACCCCGTGACTCCACAACATCCTACCAACCCCTTTCCTTTCATTCCCACGCCCTTTCCCGCCCTCCTACCAAGCCTCCCCTTCCTCCCTCCACAACCCCCTCCTCTCCCCCCTCCACCCAGCCCAAGCACGGCGCTCATCCCAGGCCCGGCCAGCTGCCGAGGCACGGTATCCGCAGGGTCGGTGGCGTGCCCGAGCCTCTCGCCTCGGATCTCACTGCCTGCTGCCACAGCATCATTAAAGCTCTGGCTCGCATCGCCATCAGCATCAGAATTCGCGGAAACAGCAGCAACAGGAAAAGCAGCAGCCGCAGCAGCAGGAGCAGCAGCAGCGGCAGCGGCAGCGGCAGCAGCAGCAGCAGCAGCAGTGATGGTGGTACGTCTGCCATCCCCCCGGCCGCCCCAAGAGAGAGTGAAGACGCGGCCCTCAGCTGAAAGCACTGCTGTGAAGAAATTCCCCAACGCCACCTGCAGAGGGGAAGGGGTGGAAAGCAGAGAGAGGGGCTTTGAAAGAGGGCAGAGAGCACTGCTGACTTTTGAGTCGACTCAAAAGCCCCCCCGTCCACCTCAACGGAGAGTGAAAGCGCGGCCCTCAGCTGAAAGCACTGCTGTGAAGAAATTCCCCAACGCGACCTGCATGGCGGAAGGGGTGAAAGCAGCAGAGAGAGGGGCATTGAAAGAGCGCAGAGGGCACTGCTGCCGTCCCCCCGGCCGCCCCAAGAGAGAGTGAAGACGCGGCCTTCCGCTGAGAGAACTGCCGTGAAGAAATTCCCCAACGCGACCTGCACGGCGAATGAGGGAGGTACAGATGCAAAGAGGTGTGAAGGGGTGTGAAGGGGTGTGAAGGGGTGTGAAGGGGTGTGAAGGGATGTTGAAGAGATGCGAAGCGGTGTGGATGAGTTGTACGACACAATCAAGCTTGAAGCTTTGAGAAGTCTCCGGACCAGAGCAAGGCAGAGTGTGAAGGGAGTGGGTCATAATAATGAAGGTAACTGGGTGAATTTTGAGTCGACTCACTCAAAAGTCACATCGAGAAGGACCAGAGCATGGCAAAGTGTGAGAGAGTGGGTCATAATAATGAAGGTAATTGCTTTTAAGGCGCCTCACCTGGACGACTTGAATGTGCCGAAGCGAATGCACGAGCCGAGGCTCGGTAACAGGCTCGGGGGAGGTGAGGGAGTATTCCTGGTCGCCGAAGCAGTCCCTGCCGAAGTGATACACCGAGCCTGTGTCTGTGACTAGCATTGTCCTCGCCCGGCCTGCTGCTGCCTGCACCACTCGCACTCCCAGCAACGACCTGAGAAGTGAGTAGAGAGCATGGGGGAGGAAAGGACGGTGGGAATAAAGAGCAGGTCGCAGTGATACAGCGAGCCTGTGTCTGAGACCAGCATTGTTCTCGCCCGGCCTGCTGCTCCCTGCACCACGCGCACTCCTAGCAACGACCTGCGTGTGGTGGATGGACAGAGGCAGCCGGGAAAAGGGCAGCGGGAAGAAAGAACATGAGACCGTGATACACTGAGCCTGTGCCTGTGTCTGTGACTAGCATATTCTTTCTTACCCCCGCCCTGCCCGCTGCCGCCTGCAACACCTGCACTCATAGCACCGACCTGCATGCAGTGGAGAATGAGAGAGCATGGGGAAGGAGAGGAGGAGGCGGATAGAGAGCATGATTACTTGATACACCGAGCCTGTGTCTGTGACTAGCATGGTACGCGCCCTGCCTGCTGCCGCCTGCAACACCTGCACTTCCAGCAGGGACCTGTGGGATGGGAGAGGAGGAAGAAGGATGCAGAATGAGTGAGCCTGTGTCTGTGACTAGCATGGTACGCGCCCTACCCGCTGCCGCCTGCAACACCTGCAGTCATAGCACCGATAGGCATGCAGTGGAGCGGGGAACTCGGTATGTATGACAGCACTTTGAGTGCGGTATTGCTCTCTCACATGCATAGCAGGGCACACAACAGTGAGACACCCTTGGAGTTGCAATGATATCACATTGCGATGCGTTACAGTTGATCCCTTGTGTTTTACTTATTACATGCGCTCATATCGTGTCACACACTTCACTTGAAGTTATATAGGTTATGGTGAACCGTCTTACATCGCAACCTACCTCACTACCTCACACTCAACCTGCACGCACCGCATGGAACCATGTTTCCATGTGACAGTCCTCACCTCACAATCTGTGGCTTCCAGGAAGGTTCCGCGGACGCATCACTGCTCCCCACCAGCCCCCTTTCAAGCCCACTCCTTAAAGTCACAGTCACAGCCCCTGTTGCAGTGGTTGCCAGAGTGGTTGTCACATCGTTCGCAAGCCCAGCAAACCCACCAACACCACCAACAGCAGCAGCAGCAGCAGCGGCAAAACTGGCATAACCAGCAGCAGCAGCTGCACCAGCAGTACCACCAGCAGCCGCACCAGCACTGCCAGCAGCAGCCAGGGGTCTCCCCAGCTGCCCTGCCGAACCATGCCCGAACGTCCACACCTCTCCACCGCGCCCCACCGCTACGCTGTGCGCACACCCCGCTGCCACCTGGGGCTGGCCGTGCCTGGCAGACAGGATTCGAGCCAGAGGGAAGTTATATTCGACAATTAGCCAGTGGAAAGCAAAAGGAGCAGGTACAGCAGGCAAATTTTGAGACAAGATTCGAGCCAGAGGGAAGATATGCTTCGCAGTTTTCCAGTGGGAGGCAAAAGGAGCAGGTACAGCAGGAAAACAACTTGCAAAAAGCACAGTCGAGCGACAGCAAAGAACGCAGTTATGCAATGACGTTACCTAGCGTTACCACTTGTTACCAGATGTTACCACATGTTACCAGATCTTATCTGATGTTACCAAGTGCTGCCATGACGTTACCCGATGTTACAATAGGTTATCTGAGTTAACCTGTTACCTGATGCTACCAAACGTTACCGGATTTCACAGAATGTCACTTTAGTTGCCCTGTTACCTGATGCAGGCGTCGCTGGTAATAAGGAAGCGCAGCAGAAGCTTCCACGAACGCCCGCAACGCGCCCACAACAGGCGCTGCTGCGCGCGCGGCAGCATGCGGAAGCGCAGGGAGTGCTGCTGGCAGCGGTCGTGCGCCGCCACTTCCGCCAGCGAGAGGCGCGGGTGCGGAGTTAAGTGCGCGGGGCGGCGGAAGAACCCGCACACGAGCTGTTGAAGCAGGATTGGGGGAAAGAGGCACGGAGGGAAAGGCAGAGACCCTCTCCTGGCACGGTGAGACGGCATGCCGAAGCGCAGGGAGAGCTGCTGGCGTCGTGCGCCGCCGCTTCCGACAATGAGAGGCGCGGGTGCGGAGTCAGATGCGCGGGCCGGCGGAAGAAACCACACACTAGCTGTTGGAGCGGGGTGGGGGGAAGAGGAAGGGGGGGAAAGGCAGATGGGAGAGACGGCACGGTGGACAGACGGCATGCGGAAGCGCAGGGAGAGCTGCTGGGTCGTGCGCCGCCGCTTCCGTCAAAGAGAGGCGCGGGTGGGGAGTCAGAGGCGCGGGTGGGGAGTCAGAGGCGCGGGTGGGGAGTCAGAGGCGCGGGTTGGGAGTCAGAGGCGCGGGTTGGGAGTCAGAGGCGCGGGTTGGGAGTCAGATGCGCGGCCCGGCGGAAGAACCCGCACATGAACTGGCGGGGCACGCGAGGGGAGGCACGGAGGAAGGCAGAGGGGAGAGAAGGTGCGGGAGAGAAGAGGTACGGGGGAGGGGCGATACGGGAGAGAGCTGACTCCTTCCGCCGGAAAGACGCGCATGCATTGAAAACTAAGCCGCGCGCGTGTTAAATTTCTAGGTGTGCCGCGCGTTAACCCGCACCACAAGTCAGACAGCAAGAAACTTTCAAAAGACATGCGCGACTTGATATGAGACAAAAGGAATCACATGCCAAGGTAAAGTTGACTTTTGAGTCGACTCAAAAGTCAAAAGGAATCGCATGCCGAGGTAAAACCAAAAAATCTACGAGCCAAGGCGACTTTAAAAACGACAAGGATTTCAGCCAACGACAGCTCTGAGGCGACTGCTCCAAACAAGGGGCGCCGCACGTTGAAACTATTTCTCATTCTCAGGATCTGCTCGCACGCGCGTTACCTCGAGGCGCGCGAGGTCCTCCGCAGACAGGCTGACGTCAGACAGAATCCGCAGCAGCACGCTCGAGTTAACCGCCAACAAGAGCTCCTCCGTCTCCCTCCGCTGACGCGATAGCGGCGGTTCCTCAAACGCGGGTGCCGGTTCAACAGTAGCACGGACGGCGGTAGCATGTCCGGTTGTGTAGTGAGCGTCTGCTGAAGCATCGTCGCTGGCTGTAGCAGCAGTGATAAGAGACGTTGAAGGAACCGTAACGAGCGTCATCAGCTCCTTGGACCCGCCGCTCGAGCCGGCAGAAAGGCTCGTGACGGCGAGCGAGGCGTTGTCAGATATCATCGCGTCGCTGCTGCACGTGGCGCCAATCATGGCTGCTGGCTGCCTGAAGTTAAACAGCTAGAGTTCTTGTGCAGAAGGCGTGAAACGCGGCCTCCCTCGTAGACGACAAGGTAGAACGGAAGCTACTCGTCGCGGCGGTTCCGTTTATGTCGTATGCAAGTCCGCAGGGTGAGATGGAAGTGAGCTGGAGTCCTTCAAATGGCACTTGGGAGTCCTGAGAATGGAAAATGGAATACTAGGCTAATCACAATACGGGAAACCACAGCCGCAGTCCTGAGAAGAAACTGGCCGACTGATAGCAGAGGCACTAGTGCTCGTTTGAAACGAATTTCGTAGGAATTCGAGAAACACAAGGAGTTTTTTTTGTAGGAATTCGAGAAACACAAGGAGTTTTTCTTATTAACGGAACAGCAAAAGCACGAGCCTCGACGAGAGTCGCACTTTCGCTGCCCCTTAAGACGACGACTTCTTGCCTTACAGAACCTTGAAACCTGAGTAATCCTGCGAGCTAGAACGTGCTGAAGGGTTTCCCGTGATGGAGAGAGAGGAATAGGAATGGCAGAGCAGGAGAACGTCCTGAAATACAACTGCGAAGAAAGCAAGGGTTTCAAAGCAAGTACGGGTGAATGGGATCGGTAGCCAGCTAATGTGTCATGTGCGCAGGAATTTGGCAGACGGGTGCTTGATGAAAGTGAGGAAGGTGAAAAATTACTTGCAAATGGGAATGGAATGGTGATGAGGCAATGTGAGGCAAGCCGAGGCGAATGACGAATGACATTCTCAAGGGCGAATTCCTCCGAGGCCTTGGACGAACGAATGCATTTGGTTTGGTGGTGTGAGCTCATTTGTCATTTCGCAGGGTGTGCGTCTCGGGAGGAAACAAATGTGATGTGGGCATGGTGTGTGTAAGGGTATGAATTGGCTTGGAAAAATGGTTCGGAGAGGTTTGAGAACACCGTACCTATGAATGATGCTGTCTAAGACTGTCTATGATTGGCTGAAATTTGATAAAGAGCTCTGACTGGGTACTTTCAGGCCACAACGATGATGTTTTAGGTTTGCATGTTTAGCCTCGGCCGAAATCTAGGCATGGTGATTACGTAAGGGCTCCTGGCTGGCGAGGATGTGGTGTGGTTGATGGTCTAAGGCAAGATGACAATGAACATGATTGGCTGAACATGTGCCATCGATGGTTTGATGCGCGTGATGGTGTGGTGTGGCGTGATAGGCTGCATCCCTTCCGGATGTCACGGGACAATCCCAAAGCAGTTCGAGGTTCGCGCCGATAGGCTCGGTAGGGATGCCCCATTTTCGATTGGATGCCATACGTGCAATATCGACGGCGTAGACAATTCTACTCACAGCCATCGACGGCATTCTACTGTACGAGCATCCAAGTGGAAGGAAGGGCAATTTTCAGCCCTCATGTCGTCAACACCCCTGCAATCCAGCTCAGCTCCCAGTTGTGAATGAGTGGTGGGATGGTTGTTCTACACCAGGCGAATCTCCATCCACATTTCGTTAGCGGTAATGTGAGCTGAATCGGGCTTTTAATGAGTACGGTCCACTCAGCTTCAGATATCCTAGACTACTCCATTCCACCCATGATTAATTAGCTTTGAGGCACAGTTTTGAGGTTTGACGAAGAGCGCCGATAGGGAGGGACGTAAGACAGGATACGGAAGGAACAAAATCGTCAACATAGCTTATTCGATCGTTCCGCGTTTCCGTGATCATCTCTATACCTTCTCCACTACAGAATTTCAGTGGAATTTCGCCAATTCTGCCTCGCGGTTATGAAAGGGCACCTTCGCAATACTTTACTGTTAAACTCTTTTGTAATTACCAACTGAAGGCTTCACGGCAAAGCTTCTTACCGATCCTTCTCCAATGAATTCGCTCGCCAGATTCGTCAGGCGAACCGCGAGACCGCGATATCATCCCACGCGGCACCGAGTCCTTCCAATTTTCGCTTCGCTGGAACAGGAACTTCCGTTTACAGCAGCAGCAGCAGGAGGATCCAGCCGTTCGTTTGGGTTGGCAATCGCAAGCCAAGCTACCAACCAGGCAGGCTTCCCGACATCTGACTCTTCTCGAACCATCCTCGCTTACGAAGAACTCGTTATACGCCCTAACGGCTCGTCCGATGATCCCAAGAGCACCAGCCCCAATAGGACCGCGACAGCTGTCATCGTTCACGGCCTGCTGGGATCTGGTCGCAATTGGCGCAGCCCCGCAAAGCTTCTAGGAAACCGGCTGGTTAATGCCGGCAATTCCCGCGTAGGTGACAATTCAGCAAGTGGGCTTTCTTGGCGTTTTCTGCTGGTGGATCTTCGGCACCACGCGCAATCCGCCGCCCGGCAGTTCCTTCAGCCGGATGACATGAGTAACGCGGCTGCTGATCTGGCGCGCCTCGTCGCTGACGTGGCGGGTGGGAGAGCTGACGTGGTGATTGGTCATTCTATGGGCGGGAAGATCGCGCTAGAGTATGTGCGGAGGGCTCGCGCGGGGGAATTGCCAGTGATGCTGCCGCAGCAGGTGGGAGGGAAAGAGGGAAATGAGGTAGATGGGGGAGTGAGGGAGATGAGGGAGTGAGTGAGACGAGGGAATGAGGGAGATGAGAAAGTGAGGAAGATGAGTGAGTGAGGAGGTGGTAGAAGAAGGTGGGGGAGAAAGGGAGCTAGCCAGGGTTGCTGCTGCAGCAGGTGGTATGAATTCATTGGGGAAGAAATGAGGGAGTATACTTGTGTGGGTGGAGGGGAGGAGAGAGCAAGGAATCGTCATTTGCATGGGGGAGAATGGGATGGTGTATCTGATTATCATGCTCTCACATGCTGGTCTCCGTTGTCCCTCCTCCCTCCCCAGCTATGGGTGCTGGACTTGGTGCCGGGCTGCATATCTGACTGCACGATTTTTCAGTCGATTAAAAAATCGGCTGCATATCTGACTGCACGATTTTTCAGTCGATTAAAAAATCGGCTGCATATCTGACTGCACGTTCGGGGGGAATGTGAGATGGTTCATCATGTGCTCACATACCCTTCTCTCTCTTTCTCGCTTTCCTCCCTCCCCAGCTGTGGGTGCTAGACTCGGTTCCGGGCCGCATATCTGACTGCACGTTGGGGGAGGATGCGGAGCGGAGGGACGTGGAGCGAGTGATTGCAACGCTGCAGGAGCTGCCCCGCCCTATTCCCTCCAAAAGGTACTAGCTACTCCCAAAAGTCGCCCTAAACCTGAAAACCCGTGTGCTTTCGTTGTATATAGATCTACATGCACTGTGCTTAGGTGCCTGCATGCACCATGCCTGCATGCACCATGCCTGCATGCACCATGCCTGCATGCACCATGCCTACATGCACCATGCCTGTATGCACATGCCTACATGCATAATGCCTCCGTGCAACTCCCGAACCGCAGGTGGCTCCTCCAGGAGCTGACTCAGCGCCGAGGCTTCTCCTCAGGCTTGGCTGAGTGGCTTGCCACGAGCCTCAGGCCCATAGCTGGTTCGGCTGGTTCGGCTGCTGCCGGGGCTGGTGTGAACGGGGAGATGGATTGGGTATTCAACCTGGATGGCGCTGTTTCTCTCTACAACAGCTACAGGTGAGGTTGAGAGGGAGGGGAGGGGAATATGTGTGGGGGAGTGTGCACTGTTTTGAGTTTGGAGGGTGGATGCTAGTGAGGTTGCATCAGGGCCTACTGGGAACGGGGAGATGGATTGAGCGTTCAACCTGGATGGAGCTGTTTCTCTCGACAACAGCTACAGGTGACTATTGGAGGGTGGGGAGGGGAATATGTGTGCTGGAGGGTGCACTGTTTGGGGCTAGTGAGGCTGGGAGCTAGTGAGGCCGGGAGCTAGTGAGGTCGGGAGCTAGTGAGGCCGGGAGCTAGTGAGGCCGGGAGCTAGTGAGGCCGGGAGCTAGTGAGGTCGGGAGCTAGTGAGGCCGGGAGCTAGTGAGGTCGGGAGCTAGTGAGGTCGGGAGCTAGTGAGGCCGGGAGCTAGTGAGGCCGGGAGCTAGTGAGGTCGGGAGCTAGTGAGGCCGGGAGCTAGTGAGGCCGGGAGCTAGTGAGGGGGCGTCAGGGCCTCCTGGAACGGGGAGATGGATTGGGTGTTCAACCTGGATGGGGCCGTGTCTCTCTGCAACAGGTACAGGTGACTCTGATGGGGTTTGTGTGTGCAGGAGTAGGAGTTTGAGGGAGGGAGGGAGGGGCATGACACGTGTGTGTTTGTTTGTTTGTGTGTGTGTGTGTGTGTGAGTGTGTGTGTGTGAGAAGGGAGGGGAGACATCTTTGCAGTGTGTGTGGTGGGGGATGACACGTTTGTGTGGGTGGGGGACCATATGCGTGTTTCTGTGTGCCGACCCATATTCATCCGTGTGTGTGTGCATGTCTGACAGAGCAAGGGCTAGGGGCTGGGGGGCAGAACCACTGAGGGAGGTTGGAAGGGAGGGAGGGAGGGAAAGAGCAAGAGGCAAATATCATGGCAATCTCGCAGCAATTATTCCTCATTGGTAGAAAAGAAAGGGGGGAAAGAAGAGGCCCTTAGTAATGCCTTTGCTTCCAGAATTTCATCATGACTCATGCTTCACACCTTCTGGTTGCATGCTCTTGTGGGGTGTAGCACGGCATGGCACGGCATGGTATGGCATGGCACGGCATGGTATGGCATGGCATGGCACGGCATGGCATGGCACGGCATGGCATGGCATGGCACGGCACGGCATGGCATTGCGTGGTGTGACAGGCAAACGGATTTGCTACCCTTTGTGAAAAACCTGTGCAATCGGCCACATGAGGAGCACCACCCCCCCCCACAAGCACCTCCTCTGCAGTCACATCCCAGACAATCCCAAGAGCTTCAAGTAGAGAGGATTGGTAGGGAGGTTCAATCGGAGCCCAAGTTTGTGAAGCCAGGAGCAGGTGAGGGAGTGAAGTGGGGATTGGTGCAGCAGCCGTGGCACCAACCCATGCAGACCCAGGCGCAGAAAGTTCAGCAACAGCAGCAGCAGCATCAGCTAGAGCAGCAGGAGGAGGGAGAGGTACCTACGGAGAAGCAGGTGGAATGTGGTTGCACACAGGTGCACTTTGTGAAAGGAGAGAGGAGCGGCGTGTGGAAAGCCAAGTGCCTCGCTGACTTGGAGGAGGCAGTTGCTGAGTCAGCGAAGTGCGAAGAAGAGGGCTTGGATTCGCTGAGGAATGAGGGTGATGAGGGTGGAAAAAAAGGATGCAGGGCGCATTTGCATGTTTTGAAAGGAGCTGGGCATTGGGTGCATGTGGACAATCCGACGGGACTCGTGCAGCTGATGGAAAAACATTTGATAGAGGTTTCAGTTTAGAAATTTATTCATTATTTTATTCACGGAAATAGGACAGCATGTGCTGTAGTTTTTATTCTTTCTTGCAAGAGTATCTAAATTACCAGTGCTTATTGGAAATTTTGCAAAATATGTACTCTCTACCATCTCTCCACTCGCTGTCCCCCTTCGCCTCGCTCTCCCTCCCCCCGAACCCCCTTTCCCCCACTTCCCCCACAAGCGCCCTCCCGTCGCCCCCGCGCGACCATGGCGGTCAGTGCGAGCACCCGCGCAGCAGTCACACCCATCGCGTAGGTAGCAGTTGACTACGCACCTTACCCCAGACCCCCCACCACTTCCGCCCATCGCATCGCCGCCGTTCCCGCTCGCCTCATCCCACCCATTCTAACACCTCAACGTCGCTATTACTCAGCAGTCGCGCGACGCCTTCTTTGCGTGTCTTCCAGCCACTAGATCTCTCCCCCCTCTACTCTCCCCGCTTATCTCCGATATGGCGTGCCCCGGTGCCCGTCGCGAGGGTCTGAGGCTCCTGCGATCGATCTACGATGTCGGCGTTGTCGCCGCGTCGCGCGCTCCCGTGACTCACGGCGCCGCTGCCGCCGCAGCGATGCCGATGGCACAGCAGGTGGTCGGCGGGTGAGTCGTTCCTGGCGATTTAGTCAACTCCGAGCAGGGCTATAAGATCCGATCCGTTGGTTGTTTGCCGTGAATCGCGGCGTTGATGCCGCTCAGGGATCGCGCAGCGTATCCCCCATCTACGGTACTCCAGGTGGTCGGAGCGCTTAGCGAATGGGCTATGCATGTAGTCTACGTGTCATGACGTTAGTTAAAGCCGCTCTACCGGAGTTTCGTACCGTCGCAGCGCTTTAGGGTTCCTCGTATCTGGGAGGAGGTGACGTCACTCCATGTCAGCCGTGCGCAGAACAGTACAATCGTCGGAGCAGCTGACGATGACGTCACAGCAGATTCGTTCGCAGTGGCTCTAGAGACAACCAGATGCCGATATCAGCTCGGGTAATGAGAGGCTATAACGGGGACAGGGCTGCGATTTGGCCGATTGGTTTGGGTCGTCTAGCGGATCTGCGACGACCACGGAGCGATCAAGCACGATGATCCGATCTGCGATTTCGCTGATTGGGTCGCACACTTAGCCAGTCGCCAGCCGCTGCGGCAGATCCGATCTATTAGTCGTAGCTCTCACCAACGCGAGACTGCTAGTAGTAATATATTTTCAAACTCGCCCAGTGCGTCTGTGGTTTCGTTAGTTCGTCTTTGGTTTTGGTATTCTGACTCATCGTCTTGCCAGCTTAGGCGACCAGATTATGACGAGCGTGAGTATGAGCGAAGTGACTAAGGCGTTTGGTAGCCTTGCAGTGCGAGAAGCGTGATGGAAGCTCTTCTCGCTTCTCGCTTCTCGCTTTTGCAGAGCGAAGTGACTAAAGCGTTTTGAGACGTCTCAAAACTCAAAGCTCGTCTCATTTCACGGGAAGCTCGGTGACCTTGCAATGCGGGAAGCGTCCTATTCGCTGTTCCGTTTCTCTCACCCCTCTCCTTTCCGAACTGCTCGCTCCGTTCGTGATGCTTCTAGCCCTCTCTGCAATTCTTCCTGCGAGTTCCAACTGTTTTGAAATGATTAGGAATCTGGTTTACCATCTAATCGTCGGCCCATGGCTCTCTATTCTCCCCCTTTTTCCTTTTCCAACCCCGTTTGAGTCCCTTCATCATCCATACCTGCTTCCCCGCTTCCTCTCCCCTTCCTTCCCCCTCCCCTCTTATCTCTCACTCTATTGCAAACTCTCACCTTCACTCCCCTTTCCCCTTCCCTGATGTTCCCCCTTTCCCGTCTTCCGCCGCCCTCCGCGTCCCCCGCTCGTCCCCCCCGCCCGCTCCTTCCGCCTCCTCCGCCCCTCTCCACGTGCTCCCGCTCTCTTCCTCCCTCGTCCGCGTGCAGCGACATCGCCCCTGCTGGCGCGCGCTTCGCGTCGCAGCTCGCAGGTACGCGCGTTGCCACATGTAGTTCTGAATTGCCACCCCCCCCCAAAAAAAAAAAAAAAAACTTGCGGCTACGGGTTGCGGAAGATAGGGGCCTTTCCAGGGATACGGGGGGAAAGAGAGAGGCGGCTGTTGAGCCCGAGGCTCTATGATTAAGTTCCAGAAAAGGCTTGAGTCCAGGGGGAAGGAAGGAAGAAGCATGTGAGGTGGGATGGGGTGGGGTGGGGTTTGTCTCTGTGTGGGCTCTGTGTGGGCTCGTGGTCGGGGGGTCCTCGGGAGAAAGGGCCTTGGCAAGGGAGTCAAGGCAGAGGAGTGGGGGGCCTTGCATTCTTGCACTGACTCGACTCCCTTTCGTCACACTTCCCCCATTCACTGCCCCCCCACTCCTCTGCCTCTTTGTCCCGTTCTCAGTGGGCAACCGCATGAAGTCAATGCGCAGCATTCAGAAGATCACCAAGGCAGTGAAGATGCTGACTCTGATCCATATAACCCCCTTTCTCCCTCACATTCTCCCTCCTTTTTTCCCGTTTCGCTTCAGTGCGCAACTGCATGAAGTCTGTGCGCAGCATTTAGAAGATCACCCAGTATCCCCCAGGGGTCACCCTGACTCATGAGTCAGGGTGACCCCTGGGATACCGGAGCATTAAGAAGGTCACCCATCGAGGAGAAGATGCTGACTGATCCTTACCCATTCCCCCTTCCCCCCTCCCATTCTACCGCATTCTCTCCCGTTTCCCCGCACCCCCCAGTGCGCAACCGCATGAAGTCGGTGCGCAGCATTCAGAAGATCACCAAGGCCATGAACATGGCGGCTGATCCTTACCACCATTCCCCTTCTTCCTGCTCCCAACCTCCCTCCTTTTGCCTGTTCCTCCCCTATCTTCCCCCCACCTAACAGTGCGCAACCGCTTGAAGTCGGTGCGCAGGGCAGCATTCAGAAGATCACCAAGGCAATGAAGACGGTGGCTGATGCTTTAATCCTGTTACCCTGTTACCCTGCTGTGTCCCCATCCCCCCGGTCTCCAGTGCGCAACCGCATGAAGTCGGTGCAGAGCATTCAGAAGATCACCAAGGCAATGAAGATGGTGGCGGCGTCCAAGCTGAGGGGCGTGCAGGGCAAGACGGAGCAGAGCCGCGGCATGTGGCAGCCCTTCACGGCCCTGCTAGGGGACAATCCCAGTGAGTGCAGGGGTCTTTGAGTGAGTGATTTGGCTTTTGAGTCGACTCAAGAGTGCAGGGGTCTTTGAGTGAGTGATTTGGCTTTTGAGTCGACTCAAGAGTGCAGGGGTCTTTGAGTGAGTGATTTGGCTTTTGAGTCGACTCAAGAGTGCAGGGGTCTTTGAGTGAGTGATTTGGCTTTTGAGTCGACTCAAGAGTGCAGGGGTCTTTGAGTGAGTGATTTGGCTTTTGAGTCGACTCAAGAGTGCAGGGGTCTTTGAGTGAGTGATTTGGTCTCTTCTCTCTCTATGCGCTGCCCTGCATGTGAGGAAGCAGCGAGGTGGCATCGAAGCTGGTGACTCCACTCCACGCACGCTCATCATCGCCGTGTCAACGGACAGGGGTCTGTGTGGTGGCAACAACTCTCCTGGCGCACTAAATGTTAATTCCCCTCCCTTATGCCCATTCCTCCCCTTCTTTCCCTCCTTTCCCTCCTTTCCCAGCCCTGGCGACCCCACGCACGCTGATAATCGCCGTGTCAACGAACAGGGGTCTGTGTGGCGGCATCAATCCTCCCCACCCATCCCCTCCCACCACCCATCCCCGTCCATCCTCCCCTTCTTCCTTCCCAACCCCCAGCCCTGGTGACTCCTCGCACGCTGATCATCGCCGTGTCAACGGACAGGGGGCTGTGTGGCGGCATCAACTCGACTGTTGTGAAGCACAGCCGTGCCGTCTCTGCCATCTCCGCGCCCTGTGAGTGCTGCTGCTACCCATGCGAGTGAGTGCCCTGAGCATCTCGTACATTGGTCTTTCACATGGTCTAACACGTATGGAAGCTGATCTCTGCTTTCCCTGTCCCCTTTCCACCCTCTCCCTCATCTTTCCTAGCAGCGGAGGAGAACAAGTCGTTATTTGTGATTCTGGGTGAGAAGGTGAAGCTGCAGAGGAGGATGGTCCTCAACCGCACCTCCTTCCCTTCCTCCCTCCCTCTCCGATTCCCTACCAGCCGAGGAGAACAAGTCGGTGTTTGTGATCCTGGGTGAGAAGGCGAAGCTGCAGCTGCAGAGAGACGCAAACAACACCATCCTCATGACTGTGGCTGACACTCAGAAGCAGGGCATCAACTTCACGCAGGTGAGCGGTGGAGAGCGATACAAAACAGTGCAGATGGGTACAGATTGGTGCAGAGTGGTGCCGGGAGGTGTACGCCAGAAAGGTGAAGCTGCAGCTGCAGAGGGCTTCTCACGACACCATCCTGATAACCGTGGCTGATACTCAGAAGCAGGGCATCAGCTTCACGCAGGTGGGCGGTGCAGAGCGGTGTATAGCGGTGCAAAATTATGCAAAACCATGCAAAGTGGTGCAGAGAGGTAGGAAGGCATGGCATAGAGGCGAAGCTGCAGAGGGATTTCCACAACACTTTAAAAGTCAGCTCAAAAGTCAGTATTTGAGTCTGCTCAATAGTCAGCTTTTGAGTCGACTCAAAAGTCTGCATCATTCCGTGCCTCCCATGCATCGCGTCTGGCAGCTGTGCTGTGGTCCGTTTATGGTTGAGACATATCTCACCTTCGTTTCCCCAATCGACCTGTGTTTGCACCAGCCTCGTTTCCCACCCATACCCACCACCAATCAACCACTCACTCCACGCCCCTCCACCAATCAACCACTCAATCCACTCCTCTCCACCCCCAGACGTCCATGATAGGGACAAATCAATTTGTAGCCCTTCAGTACACTAAAGAGAGATAGGCTAGTGGACGAGATCCTGACGAAGATCGAGTTTGACACCCCCCACTGGCATCACCAGACGTGACCATTACCTATCCACCCATCCACCTGCATCCCCCACCCCACCTCACCACCTCCAGACGTCAATGATAGTGGATGAGATCCTCAAGAACGTGGAGTTTGACACCACTCACTGGCACCACCTAGCACAATCACTCACTTATCCACCCATCCATCCACCCAACCCCCTCCCCCCCTCTCCCCCACCCCACCCCCAGACGTCCATGATAGTGGACGAGATTCTCAAGAACGTCGAGTTTGACACGGCTCGCATTATCTACAACCGCTTCAACTCCGTCGTCGCTTTCGTGCCCACCGTCTCCACCGTGCTCTCGCCCGAGGTGAGGTATTGAGGGTTGCAGTGCGGTGTGGGGAGGTGCGGTATGGTATAGTGGGGTGCTGTGAGGTGTAGTTCGGTGTTGTGTGGGGAGGTGTGGCGCTCAGCGCATCATCCACAACCGCTTCAACTCCGTCGTCGTCTTTGTGCCCGCTGTCTCCACTCCACCGTGCTCTCGCCAAAGGTGAGGTATGATGGGGTATGGTGGGGAGGTGTTGTGGGGTATGGGGCAGTGTGGTGCTGTGTAGAGGGATGGTACTTGGGTTGAGGTGCACCCACTGCATCATCTACAACCGCTTTAACTCCGTGGTCGCCTTTGTGCCCACTGTCTCCACCGTACTCTCGCCTGAGGTGAGGGGAGTTGGGGATTGGGGAGGTGCAGTGCGGTGTTAGGAGTTGTGGTGGGCCAACCGCATTATCTACAACCGCTTCAACTCTGTTGCGGTGGCCTTTGTGCCAATTGTTTCCACCGTGCTCTCACCTGAGGTGTGGTGGGGTGGGGTGTGGTGAGGTGTGGTGAGGTGTGGCGATGTGTGGTGCGCTCACCCACCGTATCATCTACAATCGCTTCAACTCTGTCATGTATTTTGTTCCCGCCGTCTCCGTCATGAATTTCTAAAAGGCTTTTGAGGCGCCTTTTGAGGCGCCTTTTGAGGCGCCTTTTGAGGCGACTTTTGAGGCGCCTCAAAAGTTGTTAAAAGGATTTCTATCTTGCTGCTCTTCCCCGATGAGTGAGGACCCGTGGGACCTCACATTCGTGCTTCAACTCCGTCATGTATTTTGTTCCCGCCGTCTCCATCGTGCTATTGCCCAAGGTGAGTTGTTGTGGGATTTATTGTGGTGTGGAGAGGTGTGTGGTGTGGTGTGGTGTGGTGTGGTGTGGTGTGGTGTGGTATGGTATGGGATGTACGAAGGTGCAGTGGGGTGTGGGGAGGTGTGGTGCGGCCATGTCATTATCCGCAATCGCTTCCACTCAGTGTGGCTTTTGGACCCACCATCACCGCCGCCGTGCTCTCTCCGTGCGTGCGTGCTTTCCGCGTCCGTTATTCTTTCCCCCCCTGCCTGCCCTAGACCTGTACGTGCTTTCCTCCATGCTTCCATCCCCCCCACCAGACTCTGCTAAAGGAGGCAGCGGAGGACGGCAGTGCGAGCCGTCTCGCAGAGTATGAGATCGAGGGCGAGGAGGGGCAGGAGGAGGAGGAGGCGAGTGCTTTCCACCCTTCATCTTTCCGTCCAACATTCTCCCACCCATCCCTCCCACCAGACCCTTCTCAAGGAGGCAGCGGAGGGCGGCAGTGCGAGCCAGCCGGCAGAGTATGAGATCGAGGGCGAGGAGGGGCGGGTGGGGGCTCATCACACACTTGTGGGGGCTCATCACACACTTGTGGGGGCTCATCACACACTTGTGGGGGCTCATCACACACTTGTGGGGGCTCATCACACACTTGTGGGGGCTCATCACACACTTGTGGGGGCTCATCACACACTTTCCTGTCAATCATTCATCACCCATTCTCCCCAACCCCCCTCTTTCCCCCAACCCACCCACCAGACCCTCCTCAGGGAGGCAGCGGAGGGGGACAGTGCGGGCGAGGCGACAGAGTATGAGATCGAGGGAGAGGAGGGGCAGGAGGAGGAAAAAGCGAGTGCTTCCCCTTCATCGCTCCATCCCTCATTTCCTCCCACCCAATCCCCCGGGCCTCCATGTTTCCCTCAGACTCTCCTCAAGGAGGCAGCGGAGGGCGGCAGCGCGAGCCAGCTGGCAGAGTACGAGATCGAGGGCGAGGAGGGCCAGGAGGAGCTCTTCCAGAACCTCTCCGAGTTCCAGCTCGCGTCGGTGAGTGGGGTGGGTGGGGAAGGGAGGTAGGGGGCTTATATGGTGTCCCTTAGCTCTTTCAGAACCTCTCCGAGTTGCAGCTGTCGTGGTTGAGTGGATGATGGGTGGGTGGATGGGGCGTGTACGACGGTGGTATCTAGGGCCAGGAGTTGGCACATATGGGGTTGGCTGGTTTGAACTTCCAACAGCATGGAGGGCCAGGAAGAGCTCTTTCAGAACCTCTCCGAGTTCCACCTCGCGTCGGTGAGTGTTTGATGGGTGGGTGGAATGGCATGTATGATGCCTCATAGTATGTGGAGGAGGGTGGTGGGAGGAGATTGCACTGAAGGTCACATATCGTCAAGTGGTCTGGTGGGACTCCATGCATAGCGTGTTAGGTGCCGAAGGTGAGGTGGCTCCAACAGCATGGAGGGCCGGGAGGAGCCCTGCCCAGAACCCCTCAGACTTTCAGCTGGTGTTGGCTAGCGTGCTGGGCAGGCTGAACGTTAGGGATTTGCTGGCCTCCCATTTCAGTTGACCCTCCTCTGTACCTCCCTCTGCTGTGCCTCCCTCTGCTGTGCCTCCCTCTGCTGTGCCTCCCTCTGCTGTGCCTCCCTCTGCACCCCTCTCTGCCCCTCGCTCCCCCAGACGCTCTACAACGCGCAGCTGGAGAATGTGTGCAGTGAGCAGTGAGCGCGCACGTCTGCAATGGACAATTCCTCCCTTCCTCCTCACTCATTCCCTCTCTCCTTGTTCCCTTTCCACACTTGATCCCCCTCCCCACCAGACGCTCTACAATGCGCAGCTGGAGAACGCGTGCAGTGAGCAGGGAGCGCGCATGTCAGCAATGGACAACTCCTCCCGCAACGCCTCCGACATGCTTGGCCGCCTCACCCTCTCCTACAACAGGTGCGTTACATTCATGCTTAGGGTTAATGCATTCCATTCAGATATGTGCAAACAGGTAATTCCTGCGCTTCTAAGTGTCCCTTGTGCCTATGATTTATGTGATGTAGGTTTTGCCTAGTAAGTTTGTATCTTCACGTCCCCCCCCCCACCACCTCTCGATGTGCAGGTCTTGCCAGGCCACCATCACCACGGAGCTTATCGAGATTGTTGCAGCTCTGGAGGGCTAGGGCCATTGTGTAATTGCATTTGCTTTAAATGCATGTGGATTTACTCTCCTCCTCCCCCCCACTCCCTTCCCGACTCTCCGCGTGCAGGTCTCGCCAGGCCACCATCACCACGGAGCTTATCGAGATTATTTCTGGTGCTGCGGCTCTTGAGGGCTAAGGCCAATGCTGTAAGTGCACATGCCTCGACTGCCGGTCGCTTAACCATCTGTTGAGACTTTAATACTGGCCTAACATTGACAATACCTGTTTCCCCAGGTCGTTACCGATTTGTGGTATTATTGTGACTGTACGTTGGCGTAGGCATTGAATCAATCGTTAGTTTCTGTAAGTGGCATATGGTAGGCGTAAAGAATCTATGTTTTTTTCTACTTGTTAAATGAAAATTTCCGTGTCACAAAACTCTGGTCCAATGCTGAGTACAGTAGAAGCACTATATGGGAGTAGTTGGGTGCAATAGCAGTGGCCTTGCATATCAGATCTGATCCATAGTTTTTCATATTTAACAAAGTCACGGTAAGTGTAAGGAAATTCCCTTTTCCTTACTTCGCATCCCTGCTCAACGCGTACATCACTGTAGCACCTCAGTCAGCACCGTTACCACTCGCGACCATCGCATCATTCATCATCCCGCCCTTTTCGCACATCGCATCCCGACCTCACGGCTCGGCTGGTAACCCGCGCTCCGGACCTACGCTTCGACACTTTCCCAACCTCAGTCCCAGGCTCGTCGCGCGACCATTACCGTTACCACGGTAGTTTCGCTATATAATGTTCGCTCATGCCTTCGCTCATTTGTATTCTTGCTTCGATAGTGCAATTCTCGTTCGTTCACTCAATTGCACTCGTAAGACTTGGTATTCAAAGCCTACGATCTCATCTCGGACCGCATCCACACCTTCGCTTCCCACTATCTCAAATTTTTGGGGGGGGTAGACGTCTCTCAGCGACACAGCACCGCCGCTCGTAGTGCTCTCTCGAAAGCACGCACGGCCACGACCGAGGCTCTCGCTGAGCTTGCCCGACACCCCCGCCATGGCCGATTTCAATCTCGCCACGTTGACGCAGGAGCAACTCGATCGTCTCGTGCGTCAATTGGAGGATTCGGCGCTCGAAATCGCGACTCTCACGGCGGAACGTGACTCCGCCCGTCAACAGTCAACGGTGAACGTACCGACGACATCACACGCACCAACCAATGCATCTGCACATTCGGAGGAGCCCATCGTCATCTCATCCGGCACACCAACGCAACACAACAGCATGGGACAGCGCTCAGGTGCAGCCAGTGACGGCGCAGCCCAACCGATGCCCGGCATGGGAGGGAACAGGAGCGCATTAAGCCCATGGGAGCCCCGAGAAGCCCGTCGGCACGTGGAGTTTGCGGCGACAAGTGGCGAGAACGCCATGATGGCCCCAATGCCACTCAAGCCGCAACGCCCGCCCTGCTTCGACCCAAGCCAACGCGGCGGCCCGACAGTTCAATCGTGGGTCTTCACGATGAATGTGTTTTTCGACGCCAACTACGTCGAGTCGGACGCCGCCAAGATCCGGCATGCGGTTTCACTACTCAGGGGCCCCGCCATGGACTGGTGGCGAGTCATTGTGACGTCGCCGCGCGCCTACGAGCCACCGTCGCACGAGGAAGGGCCCTCGGGTCCAGCTGTTACCTGGAGTTCGTTCTGCGAAACCGCCCAATACAGCACGTGGGATGCGTGGTGCGCAGGGCTTCGGGCGCGCTTTGAGCCGATCGCGGCCTCGATTTCGGCGCGTCAGAAACTGCGCACTTGGCGCCAGCTCGGGTCAGTTCAAGACTACACCAGCGGGTTTCTCGCACTTTGCGAACACGTCGGCTACATGCACGAGGCGGAGCGGGTGGACCGTTACGTCGGAGGGCTGAAGCCGGACATCTCGCACGAGATAATGCTACGCGGGCTCTCGAATTTCAACGAGATCCTCGCGCTCGCCGAGAAAATCGATATCCTACGCCGACCGAGACCGGGGTCCTATTACGGACATCGTCCTCGGGGACCGACCGAGCACGCCACTGTACATGCCGTCGCAGCGGATGCAGCTGCCGCGCCGTTTAGAGGGCCCTGCTTTGCTTGCAACCGGCCGGGCCATCGCAAGAGCGAATGTCCAGAGGAGCTGAGGCGTTGAGGAGCAGAGCAGGGGAAGGAGTCTCGGAGGCAGGGAAACGCCAGCAGTCAGTAGAAGTTGGGCCAACTACTGACGAGACTGCCTGCTCGCCCAACCACACCGACCCTCACCGAGTCACAGTACCGATTCACGCCATCGATCGGGCTCGGATGAATAAGGAGGGTACAGCGACGGATTGCCCGGTACTGATCTACGAGAAAATACAGGGAGCAGCAGTGAAGATCTTCATTGACGGAGGAGCAAGCCACAGCTTAGATAATACCGCAACCGCACGAAAATTACAGTTAACGCTTAACCGATGTTTACCTGAGATAGATGCACGCTTAGTCGACGGCACGCCCCTGGCCATACGGGAAAAGGTGGAGCGCGTAAAAGTCCGTTGCGGGGGGAACTTCGGGTTTACACAGGAAATGCTCGCGACGACACTGGATGGGCACGACATTTTATTAGGACGTGATTGGCTGCGACGGTACAACCCACGGATCGACTGGACGACGGGGAGCTGCACAGTGCGAAGTAGTGGTAACTGGGTCGTTCTACCTCGCTGGCAGCCACCCAAATCTTCGACGGTCCAGGTCAACACCATCACGATGAAACGGGCTGTCGCTGCTGGAGCTGACGTGTACGCAGTGGATATCGTACTCGTAGAAAAAGATGAGCAGCCAAGTGATTTGGAGAAACTGCTGGCAACTGTACCGACCGAACTACAGGCACTACTGAAACAGTTCCCGGGGATATTTCCGGATGATTTACCACAGGGATTGCCACCTCAGCGGGCGCACGACCATAGGATCGAGTTAGAACCAGGGGCACAGCCAACTGTACAGCGGCAATTTCGACTGACACAGCCCGAGCTCGACGAGTTAAGGAAGCAGTTAGATTACCTGTTAGAGAAGCAGTTTATCCGACCGAGCTCGTCACCGTTCGCCGCACCGATACTGTTCACACCGAAAAAAGACGGAGGGTTCCGCATGTGCATCGACTACCGAGCGCTTAACAGGGTAACAGTCAAATCGCGATACCCCATCCCCCACGCCGACGAACTGATCGACCAACTGCGAACATCACGAGTCTTTTCGAAAATAGATTTACGGGGAGGTTACCATCAGATTCGGGTCGAACCATCGGACTGCGCCAAAACAGCATTTAGGACTAGGTACGGGTCATTCGAGTATACAGTAATGCCATTCGGGCTGACGAACGCGCCTGGGACATTTCAGATGACCATGAACGAGGCGTTTAGACCACTTTTAGATAAATGCGTGATAGTTTACCTGAACGATATTCTAGTTTACAGCCGGGATAAGCAGCAGCACTTAGTGGATCTTGAAGCAGTTTTTAAGGTTTTGGAGGAACATCGGCTACTCACCAAGGGCTCCAAGTGCGAGTTTTTTCGGGACAGGCTAGAGTTTTTGGGTCACGTCATTTCGGAGGCTGGGGTTGAGATTGACCCAAAGAAGCTGGATACGGTAAAAGCGTGGCGCCCCCCGACGAACATCACGAACTGCAGAGTTTTTTAGGTTTTGTTAATTACGTTCGACGGTTCGTGCCCGACATGGCACGTTTAACAGCCCCACTCACTGATTTACTGCGTAAGGGGGTCGCTTTTACGTGGGGGGAGAAAGAGCATGCTGCCTTCTCTGCCTTGAAAAACGTTCTCTGTTCACCACCCGTTCTACGCATCGCTGATCCCCACCGCCCTTTCGAAGTGGTTACTAACGCAAGTGACATCGCCATCGGAGCTGTACTGTTACAGGACTTCGGCGACGGCCTCCAACCCATCGCCTACGAATCACGCAAACTACATCCGCCTGAGCGAAATTACCCGATACACGACCGCGAAATGCTCGCGATCGTGCACGCATTCAAAGTGTGGCGCTGCTACTTAATCGGCGCAGACGTGACAGTACGGACAGACCATCGATCTCTACAGTACCTCCGTGCACAGCCCCACCTCAACCCACGACAGATTCGATGGCTCGATTTCCTCGAGTCGAATTTTCACTATACGGTCACATACAAAAAAGGAGCCTCGAATATCGCCGACGCACTGACCCGCCCCACTGCCCAGATCCACGCGATACTACTCGCCCAGACCAGCCCGCTACTGACAGGCCTATTTTACCCACGGATATCAAACAGACCCGTTCTTTACAGGAGGCAACTCACAGCAATTCGCAGCGGCAAAAGGAGTCTATTACGTAAAAGCTGGAACCGACCGCATCTGGGTACCAGGATACACGCTACTGCGGGAACTACTGTTACAGGAGGCACACGACGGAGTTACCTCGGGACATTTCGGGGTAGAAAAAACACGGCAGCAGCTGCAGCGGTACTACTAGTGGCCAGAAATGTTGACCGATGTGCAACGACACGTGGCATCGTGCCCCACTTGCCAGCTCATGAAGTCAAGCAGGAAGCGGCCGGCGGGACAATTACAACCCATCCCGCCCCCAGAGCGTGCTTGGCAGCAGGTGACGATGGATTTCGTTACGGGGTTACTAGCTGGGGCGAGTGGGAATGACGCGATCCTGGTCGTCGTCGATCGACTAACGAAGATGGCTCATTTCGGAGCATGCAGGAAATCAATCACAGCCGAGGAAACCGCCCGACTCTTCATCACCACCGTCGTTCGACTGCATGGGATACCCGCATCGATCATCAGCGACAGAGACACGAAATTTACAAGCAACTTCTGGCGGAACCTGTGGCAGCAGTTCGGCACGCGCTTACAGTTCAGTTCATCCTATCACCCCGAAACCGACGGACAGACGGAACGGACAAATCAGACCATGGAGCAGCTGATTCGAGCCACGTGCGACAATCCGAATACGTGGGAACAGCAGCTGCCACTCATCGAGTTCGCATACAATAACGCACCATCAGCCACGACGCAACAGTCGCCGTTTTACTTGAATTACGGACAGGACCCAACAGTACCCATGACACCGAATCCCGACAACTCCGTCCCACGAGCACAACAGTTCGCCGAGATTCTGCAAGCAGCACGGACCAGGGCAGCAGAAGCAATCAAAAAATCAAACATCATCGCTAAACGCAACGCCGATCGCCATCGCAGACCCGTTACTTATCAGCCCGACGACCTCGTTTTACTCGACACTCAGAACCTCCGCCTGCCCATCACTCCAAAACTCCGCCCTCGATACTGTGGGCCATTTCGAATCAGTCACATGGTTACGCCAGTCACCGCGCACCTCCTTTCCCCTGCTGACTGGTACGTCAGCCCCTCGTTCCACGTCAGCTTACTTCGCCCTTACGTGCCATCCACCAGCCAACTCCTACGACATCGACCCACCAGCATGACACGACCACCAACCGAACCAGTCATCACCCCCGACAAGATCCCGAGCCACAGAGTTCGCGACCCTCAAGGAGCCCGAAAAGTGGAGTTTCTGATCCGCTGGAAAGATCGTACCCCCACCGAGGACAATTGGGTTCCCCTGGAGAAAGTTGAAAATCACCCCGTCGTCACCGACTACCTGCGTAGCCGCAATTTCCGAGACATCCACGCGCTTTCATAAGGAGGACCTCCTTAGGAGGGGGGGGGGTAGTGTAAGGAAATTCCCTTTTCCTTACTTCGCGTCCCTGCTCAACGCGTACATCACTGTAGCACCTCAGTCAGCACCGTTACCACTCGCGACCATCGCATCATTCATCATCCCGCCCTTTTCGCACATCGCATCCCGACCTCACGGCTCGGCTGGTAACCCGCGCTCCGGACCTACGCTTCGACACTTTCCCAACCTCAGTCCCAGGCTCGTCGCGCGACCATTACCGTTACCACGGTAGTTTCGCTATATAATGTTCGCTCATGCCTTCGCTCATTTGTATTCTTGCTTCGATAGTGCAATTCTCGTTCGTTCACTCAATTGCACTCGTAACAGTAAGTAACAATAATGGCTCTTCGTTGAACATATCGAACTTGCCTTGCCACAGCGAATTTCAACAACTATCTCCCGTACCTCACCTTTTGACTAGGCCTGCTTTATCTATCCCCGCCAAACCTAAGCGGTGATGTTCGTTCAAAACCAGACCAAACCGCTCCTTGCTTCCAGACAACCGTTTTGAAACGCAGACAAGTCGTTTGAACCGCACCAAGTAAACTCTTCGTCGCCATAGACCTGGTCTGCACTGCACTCCGGAGCATTCACTTTCGCCAGACTGATCACAGGCACATTACTCTACTACCTAACTACTTCCACCTAATTGGGAACCTGTCTTATTACTCGGGTGCTAAAGTATGGCGATCCCACATACTCAACTTCAGCTAGTGCACCCGCGGTAGTGACTCCCGGGGCCGCAATGCCGTGCTTCCCGCTTTCTGTCTTAACGTGTGGCAACAGCTAGCACTGACCCTCTCCCATCCTCCGACTTGGTATCGCTGGTTCTGGTTTAAAGATTCCCGGTTCTGGTTCATAAATGCAGGTTTCGTTTTCCCGCACCCGTCGCTCCGAGAGAAACGTGCTTCACGGAGTAATCAGCTCTGAGAATTGACAGACTCGACCAGTGTGCTTCAAAGGTCAATTCGTTAGTATTTTCTTCTTCCTCCTCTTTTAACCCAGCACGTATATCCGTACCCCTGACGGCATTACTGACTAGAGCACGAGCATTTGCCGCACAATGCGGCCGCCATGGCTAGGATCCTCCCCCCCCGCCGGCGCCGGCAGTCCATTCAGCACCTCCAGCCCCAGCAACGTGATTCTAACCACCGGAAGACACGGCGGGTCTAACGGCGGATTTGGCGGCGGGCTGTTTAACTCCTTGTGGGCGTACGCGCGGCCCGGGCGATGGTGGCTCGCGATATTAATCATCTGCGCGTTTCAAGGGGTCTTACTATGGCACTGGTCGAATACCTCCGCTATAGTCTTCCCCGATCAGAAAAGCGCATCCGGCGCCGCGATTGGCGGGAAAGGAGGGTCGCTGAACAGGCAAAGACTAGGCGATGCTGCCGCGGCCGCCGCCGCCGCTTCTGCGTTCCGGCGGCACCTAATCATAGAATCGCAGGAGCAAACTCAGGACGTCTCCAATCTCCGGTCGCTATCCTATAACCCCACGACCGCGTCGCTCTCCGCAGCGGCCTTAGAGGAATTAGTTCGCAAAGTAGCGGAAAACGTGTCGCAGCGCATCGAGTCGCACGAGGCGGTGCTAGTTAATCTGGGGATTAAGTTGCTCAACAGAGAGCAGCAGCTGTCTAAGATCGATAAAGTAATCGCAGCGCTCGGCAAAATACCTCCGGAAACCATTAAAGCTGTCTTACAAGCACAGCTCGATATAAAGCAGCAGCAGACGGCGGAAAGGGAAGGGGGATCGGGAGCAGGAGGAGCAGGTGAAGGCGGAAGAAAAGGGGGAAGCGGACAAGCGGAAACAGGAGGAGGCGCAGAGGGGGAGGCATGGGGGGAACTCCCAGAACCCATCCCCCCTCCGCCAAAGCCGTGCAAACGACAAAAAGACCTGGGGAGATCGGGGGGGAAGGTAGTCTGGCGGGTAGACGGGGGGGAGGCGGAGGGGGAGGAACGCCCGCGGAAATACCTTCTAGCTATGTGCTCCGGGGGGCAATTAAGCAACCGCATTTCGTGCCTAAGGCAGCATTTTCTAGACGCGGCGCTGCTGAATCGCACGCTGGTGTTCCCATCGCACGGGCCCGGAGTGGACTATGACTACGAGCGCCTGTTGGATATGGAGGCGCCCAGGCGGTGCTTTGGCAACCAGACGTTTCTTACTCTTGACGAATACGCTGCCATTCAGGAGGCCAAGGTGGGTACTGTAGGGTGTGCCAGGGTTGGGAGCGGTGAAAAGCCTGGCAGAGGTTTGCAGGATGCTGCGGTGCTGGTGAGTGAGTGGCACGCTGGTGTTCCCATCACACCGGGCCCGGAGTGGACTATGACTACGAGCGCCTGTTGGATATGGAGGCGCCCAGGCGGTGCTTTGGCAACCAGACGTTCCTGACGCTGGATGAATACGCTGCCATTCAGGAAGCAAAGGTGGGTACCTTTGGGAGAGTGTGCCAGGGTTGGGAGCGGTGGGAAGGTGTCCAGAGGATTTCCGGACAGCAGCTGAGGTGGTGGTGAGTAGCAGGGTGGTGTTCCCATCACACGGGCCCGGAGTGGACTATGACTACGAGCGCCTGTTGGATATGGAGGCGCCCAGGCGGTGCTTTGGCAACCAGACGTTTCTCACTCTCGATGAATACGCTGCCATCCAAGAGGCCAAGGTGGGTACTGTGCTGCTGTGGGAGGGTGTGCAAAGGTTGGGAGCAGTGGGAAGGTGTGCAGAGGTTTTCTGGACAGCAGCAGTGTCCGTAGTGAGTAGCAGGGTGGTGTTCCCATGACTATGGCTATGACTATGACTATGACTATGACTACACCAATCCTTGCCTAAGACTGTGACTAAGACTATGACTAAGAGAATTGGTTGGTGGATATGCAGAAAAACACACGGAACTTACCTTCACTCCTTGTGCTCTGTTGCATGGCAGAACCCCAAGAGGAGAAAGAGCGCACCTGTGATGGTGGTGGACGTGTTCATATGCCACGTGCACCACTATCAGACGGAGAGAGAGTGCGGTTACATCCGACAACGGTGAGTAAGAGATGCTCATGCACACACATGCATGCTGCGTGCACACGGGCATGCTAGAGGTGATGATGGTGGATGCGTTCATATGCCACGTGCACCACTACCAGACGGAAAGAGAGTGTGGCTACATCAGGCAACGGTGAGAGATGCGCATGCATGCACATGCCAGAGCGAATGGTGGTGGATGTGTTTATATGCCACGTGCACCATTATCAGACAGAGCAAGAGTGTGATTACATTAGAGAACGGTGAGGAACACATGTGTGTATATGCCCATGGACATGCACATGCACATGCACATATGTGCCATTGTGCAAGAGGGGATGGTGGGGAGTGTGTTCACACTACTACGTGCACCACTACCAGACAGAATGGGAGTGCAGTGAAGGTATATTCGACAACAGTAAGACACACATGCACATGCACATGCACATCCTCTGCAATGAGTCCGCCCGTCATCCCCGTTTGGAGCATGTTCGGCGTGGGTGGGCAGGACCTGCACTCCCACCAACCAACCCACCTATCTACTCACTCACTCGTACATATCATGTATTGTCTCAGCCCCTCCTTTCCCAATGCCCGCCCCTCTACCCCACCCGCCCCCTCCTCCCCTTCTCCAGCTAGCAACTGCATATCCACTTTGCTCGAACGGTCATCCCAGAAAAGCGCATGCCAAGCCCCTGGTTCAAATACCCCTCCAAAGAGTTCATCCCCCTCGTCTCCTATGATGAACCCGTCTTTCCCTCCGCCCCATCCCGCCCCCGGCTCTCCCCTCCCCCTCCTCCCTCCCTGCAGCTACCAGCAGCTGCATATCCACTTTGCTAAAACAGTAATTCCGGAAAAACGCACCCCAAGCCCTCAAATACCCCTCCAAAGAATGCATCTCCCTCTTCACCTACCACAACTCGCTCCCCGTTTCCCCATTCCTACCCCCGATTCCCCTCACCCGTGCAGGTACCAGCAGCTGCACATCCACTTTGCTAAAACAGTCATTCCAGAGAAGCGCACGCCAAGCCCCTGGTTCAAGTACCCCTCCAAAGAGTTCATCTCCCTCTTTAACTACGATGATTCGGTCATCGCCTTCGGGAACATGTTCGGCGTGAGCGGGCAGGATTTACGCTTTCACCATGCCCGCCCGCTCGTGGTGCTGCCCGGATGCAAATACTACATCATGCCCTCACCCATGGTTCGCCAGGCCGCTGCTGGGTTTATCAACTCCTACATCGGCAGCAGCACCAGCAGCAGTGATAACAGCAATGCAGGTGGTGATGCTGCTGGTGGGGGTGTTCGGGCTGCTGGTGATGGTGGTGCTGGTGGAACCGGGGGTGGTGGGTTCATGGCATTGCACATGAGACGAGGCGATTTCTACCAGCATTGCGTCAACATGAAGGGGCATTCCAAGTTCGCCTGCTACCACCCGATCCGCCAGCTGGCGGCGTGTGTGGCGCGGCGATTGGACGAGAACCCGGGGGTGCGGGCGATTTACCTCTCGACCAATGGGGATGATGATGAGGTGAGAATGTTCCGGGAGTTTCTCGCGTTTGAACGGGCGAGACCGCGGAAATACGTCGTAAATGGGACGACGGAGGATGGACGTGTGGGGAGTGTGGTTCGGGTGCGAGGGGGGCGCTCGGGGCTGTTTTCTTCCGAGCCTGTTCCGGTGGTTCGGATGTCGATTAAGAGCCTGGAGACGCAGCCTTGGGCCGAGCCTCTGGTGCAGGCTGGGGCGCATAACGACAGTGTGGTGATTTCGTATGTGGAGAAGGCTATATGTGTGATGTCGAATGTGTTTTTTGGTACGTACGGGTCGACCTTTACAGGGGATATTGTGCGGCTACGGGATTGGCTGTACTTGAATAGCTGTAACGATGGGATGATATGCCCAGAAACAGACCAGGCGGAGCTTATAACGCCCTTCGAGAGCTAGGATGTGTTGATCAGTGGAATTGCTAACAAACGGGTTGTATTTCTAACGTCATAAAAGCTATAGCACATGTAGAATTTCGATTAAAAAGTGGTGTAGGAAAGGCTCGAGTATATACCGAGTGCTCACTCTTTTACAGAAGTCGGTTGTCCAATGATGAGAGCAGGTGCTTCATTCCGTGTAGATCACTCCATGTATTCTTCCCTCGTTTGAATCACATCCTTACTTCTACTTGTCACCCTCGGGATTATGGACAAGTTCTCACCACCCAGATTCTGACGCCTTCGTTTTGGATCAAAGTCGATGGTCTAGGCTTCCCGCCAGCAATTGCCAAGCCAGATCGGACGGTCAGACCCCGCATGACCGCGTTCCGCGCAAATTAATCGACGGTCTCGTGCGGTCGCGTGTCCCGCGCCTCCACGTGGCGCACAGTGCGCGCTGAAATCGCTCTGGCCTGCATTTTAGGTCGCGATCTCGCGTAGCTATTACTAATCGGTTTTGCTAGGTACCAGCTGTTCCCGGTGCTGCAGTCTCGGTGCTGATCGGTGCGATCACTATCGTGTTCGACGAATTCTCAGCCATGGTGACTCGCATACATCGAAGTCCGTGCGATTTCCGAGCGAACTGAACAGCAGTTTCATCGTCAATCATTTTGTTGACTATTTGCCTCCTCGTCGCACAGTCCTTCGTTAACCGACGCAGTCGCAAAGCGTATCGTGCGTCTGTTCTGCCTTCGTACTCAAATTCTTACCTTCTCGTCGCCGATCCTTCATGTTATTATAAGCGGAAGTCGCATCGCAGATTCCGAGCATGGATCTAGACGGAATGATCAGCGGAGGGGGAAGGGGAGGCCGCGGGGGAGGCGGTCGGGGGGGCTACGGTGGAAGAGGGGGAAGAGGCGGAGGCGGAAGGGGAAGAGGCGTATGCAGATTCTGGCTGGAGGGCAACTGTAGAAAAGGTGAAAGTTGCGACTATCTACATACTGATTCATCTGGCGGGGGTGGCGGGTTCGGCGGAGGGGGAAGAGGCGGAGGCGGAAGCAGGGGAGGGGGAGCTGGCTGGGGGGGACAGGGGTGGGGTGGAGGCGGAGGTGGCGGAGGCGGGGGAGGGGGCACGGTTTTGGGCAGGCGGAATGCGGACAGTCAGGGGGATGGGGGAGGGTTTGGTGGTGAGCGGTGGGGAAGGCAAAGAGCAGGCGGAAGAAGCGGGGAGGGCGTCAGAGCGCGGCTCGGTGACGGGGGAGGCGGAGGGGGAGGGGGAGGCGGAGGTGGGGAGAGGCGCATTGCGAGGCGGAAGGCGTGCAAGTTCTGGCTGGGGGGAAGCTGCAACCGGCATAACTGCAATTTCTTGCACGCCCACACGACAGCTGCTGACGTGGAGATGATGACAGAGCTGACGGGGCATGAGAAGGTGTGGGTGGGGGAGTGTGTGGGAGTGTGTCTGAGTATGTGTGTGGGTGTGTGTGTGTGGGTGTGTGTGTGTGTGTGTGTGGGTGTGTGTGGGTGTGTGTGTGTGTGTGTGTGTGTGTGTGTGTGTGTGTGTGGGTGTGTGGGTGTGTGTGTGTGTGTGTGTGTGTGTGTGTGAGAGAGAGAGAGAGAGAGAGAGAGAGAGAGAGAGAGAGAGAGAGAGAGAGAGAGAGAGAGAGAGAGAGAGAGAGACAGAGAGAGAGAGACAAGGGGGTGCTCCACTCTAGTCCCATATGCTTGCCATCTTCAACCAACCCCACCCCCTCTCTCCTATTCCCGCACCTCCCCTCACGCGCACCTCCCCTCACGCGCACCTCCCCTCACGCGCACCTCCCCTCACGCGGACCTCCCCTCACGCGCACCTCCCCTCACGCGCACCTCCCCTCACGCGCACCTCCCTTCACGCGCACTTCCCCCCACCTGCATCTCCCCTCGCCTCCCCGCCCCAGGTGGTGCGCGCCATTGCTCTACCGGAGAGCTCCTCTCAGCTCTGTACACGGGCAGTCAATGAGTCACTCAGTCATTGAGGGCCAAACTCTGTACATCTTGCCCTTTTTATTCCCTCCTCCCTTCCATCCCCCTTTTGAGGCGCCTCAAAACATGGGCAGTCAATGAGTCACTCAGTCATTGACGCCCAAACCCTTTACATCTTGCTCTTTTTATTCCCTCCTCCCCTCCATCCCCCTCTCTCTTCCACCCCTTCAGTTGGTGCGGGCCATAGCTCTACCAGAGAGCTCCTCTCAGCTGGACACGGGCAGTCAGTCATAGAGGCCCAAACCCTTCACATTTCGCTCTTTTTATTCCCCCCTCCCGTCTCTCCCGCCTCAGGTGGTGCGGGCCATAGCTCTACCGGAGAGCTCCTCTCAGCTCCGTACACGGGCAGTCAATGAGTCACTCAGTCATTGAGGGCCAAACCCTTTACATTTTTCTCCTTTTTATCTCCTCTCTTCACCCCCCCTCCAGGTGCTGCCCGCCATAGCTCTACCGGAGAGCTACTCTCAGCTGTACACGGGAAGCCAGTCAGTCATTGAGCACTAGACCATTTACCTTTTGCAATTTCGTCTCCCCTCCCGCTGCAGGTGGTGCGGGCCATAGCTCTACCGGAGAGCTCATCTCAGCTGTACACAGGCAGTCAGGACGGGACGATCCGAGTGTGGGACTGCACTTCAGGGCAGGTAGGTTGCTGTTGCCGTGCTGGAGGGTCAAGGGCGGTGAAGGGCGGTTAGGGGCAGTCAGGATGGCACCATCCACGTGTGGAGTCCCAGGTCACCAGGGCAGGTGGGCACCAGGTCTGCGTGTGCTGTTGCTGTGCTGGAGCATAAAGGGTGGTCAGGACGGGACCATCCGGGTGTGGGATTGCACCATAGGAGGTGGGGTCCTCTATGTCATATGTAAGGTGCGCTGTTGCTGTGCTGGAGCATAAAGGGTGGTCAGGACGGGACCATCCGGGTGTGGGATTGCACCATAGGAGGTGGGGTCCTCTATGTCATATGTAAGGTGCGCTGTTGCTGTGCTGGAGCATAAAGGGTGGTCAGGACGGGATCATCTGGGTGTGGGACTGCACCACGGGGCAGGTAGGGTGCTGTTGCTGTGCTGGAGTGACAAGAGCGGTCAGGGGCGGTAAAGGGTGGTCAGGGCTGGATTATCCGGGTGTGGGACTGCACCACGGGGCACTGATTACCAACTCTGGGTGGCTCTTTCGCTGTACCCTCTTCATGGGACCAACTCTTTCGCTGTACCTCTCTTCACGGGACCAACTCTTTCGCTGTACCCTCTTCACGGGACCAACTCTTTCGCTGTCCCCTCTTCACGGGACCAACTCTTTCGCTGTCCCCTCTTCACGGGACCAACTCTTTCGCTGTCCCCTCTTCACGGGACCAACTCTTTCGCTGTACCCTCTTCATGGGACCAACTCTTTCTCTGTCCCCTCTTCACGGGACCAACTCTTTCACTGTACCCTCTTCACGGGACCAACTCTTTCGCTGTCCCCTCTTCACGGGACCAACTCTTTCGCTGTCCCCTCTTCACGGGACCAACTCTTTCGCTGTCCCCTCTTCACGGGACCAACTCTTTCGCTGTACCCTCTTCATGGGACCAACTCTTTCTCTGTCCCCTCTTCACGGGACCAACTCTTTCACTGTACCCTCTTCACGGGACCAACTCTTTCACTGTCCCCTCTTCACGGGACCAACTCTTTCGCTGTCCCCTCTTCACGGGACCAACTCTTTCGCTGTACCCTCTTCATGGGACCAACTCTTTCGCTGTACCTCTCTTAACTTCCCACTTTGTCTTTCTTACCCTCCCTCCTCTCCCTCTCCATTCCACCCATCAGTGCGTGAGTGTGGCGAGCATGGCGGGGGACGTGGGGGCACTGATTAACAACTCTGGGTGGCTCTTCTCTCACTTGCACCGCACTGCGCCCCTCTTAACTTCCCACGTTTTCCTTCCACTCCGTCCCATCCCCTCTCCAATCCACTATCAGTGCGTGAGTGCAGCGAGCATGGGGGGGGGACGTGGGAGCACTGATTACCAACTCTGGGTGGCTCTTTCCCTCACTTGCACCGTAGTGTACCCCTCTTCACTTCCCATTTTCTCCTTCGTACCCTTCCATACCCTCCCCAATCCACCCATCAGTGCGTGAGTGCAGCGAGCATGGGGGGAGACGTGGGAGCACTGATTACCAACTCTGGGTGGCTCTTTCCCTCACTTGCACCGTAGTGTACCCCTCTTCACTTCCCATTTTCTCCTTCGTACCCTTCCATACCCTCCCCAATCCACCCATCAGTGCGTGAGTGCAGCGAGCATGGGGGGAGACGTGGGAGCTCTGATCACCAACTCTGGATGGCTCTTTGTTGGCCTGCCCAACCTCGTTAAGGTGCCCTGCCATGCCCCCCCTGCTCTGAGGTTCTATGCCATGCTGTGCCACCATGCCCTGCCATGCCACTCCATGCGGCTGCATACCATACCATGCTCTCATCGCCAACTCTGGCTGGCTCTTTGTCAGCCTGCCCAACCTTGTCGAGGTGCTGCTTATGATATGCTCATTGATTGTCCCTGGTTTTGCTAATTCAACCCCCCCATCCATGCTATCTCTGCTGTGAATGCTGCAGACGTGGGTGCTGGCGAGCGGGGTGCAGAGCGGCTCGCTGTCCTCACAGGCAGGCCCTCTTGAAGCCTAGACCCTCCGACCCTGTGCTTTGAACCCATGCATTTTCAAACTTCCCATCCCTGCCATGGATGCATGCAGACATGGGTGCTGGCGAGTGGAGTGCAGAGTGACTTGCCAGGCCCTACAGGGTCGGTGCACCAGCTGCTGCTGCACAACGGGATGCTCTTTGCCGCCTGCAGTGTAAGCGGTGGGGTGTGGTGGAGGGGGTTGGAATGGGGTGGTGTGGCATGGTATGGCATGGGGTATGCCCCCACAGGGTCGGTGCACCAGCTGTTGCTGTTGCACAATGGCATGCTCTTTGCTGCTTGCAGTGTGTGCCTTACACTTGAGAGAGTGTGGGATCTGGTTGGGTGGAATGGGGTGGGATGGCGTGTTATGTATCCTAGGGTCGGTGCACACAATGGCATGCTCTTTGCCGCCTGCAGTGTAAGCGGTGGGGTGGGGTGGTGTGGAGTGGGTTGGGATTGCTTGCATGACATAGAAATGGAATGGGACTGTAATGTAACCCGACCTCACAGCAGTTTGAATCGGTGGTATCACTGACAGGCGAAACAACAGCTGTCGTGTGCCTTGCGTTGCCTTGCCTTGCCTTGCCTTGAATGGTTGGCACTTTGTTCTTTTCCACTTCCATCGCTTCGTTTCTCCACAAAGCTCAGGTCGGCAAGATTCTGTGTTGGAAGTTCAACCCTGCTTCCCAGCAGTATGAGCCGGTGGCGTCACTGACAGGCCACACGGCTGCTGTGGTGTGCCTTGCCTTGAATGGTTGGCGCTATTCCTTTCCCCAAATCCCTTGACCCCTTCCTCCCCTCGCTTACATACCTCAGGACGGCAAGATCCTGTGCTGGAAGGCAACAAATGCAGCAATACATATTTCTTTCCCCCCTCCCCCCTCCCCCCACATTTCTCAGGACGGCAAGATCCTGTGTTGGAAGTTCAACCCGGCCTCACAGCAGTTCGAGCCCGTGGCGTCACTGATGGGCCACACGGCTGCTGTTGTGTGCCTTGAAGCCACTGCCACGCACCTCTTCTCTGGATCCATGGATAAGAGCATCAGAGTGAGTGCATAGAAGGGGTGTGGAGTGAGTGTGGAGTGGTTATAGAGTGAGTGGAGTGAGTGGGTTATAGGTCATGAGGCACACACTGATGGGCCACACACTGATGGGCCACACAGCTGCTGTCGTTTGCCTTGAAGCCACCACCACGCATCTATTCTCTGGATCCATGGATAAGAGCATCAGAGTGAGTGGAATATCTAGATCATGAGGCACGCACTGCTCACAAGCCACATGGCTGCTGTGGTGTGCCTTGAAGCCACGGCCACGCACCTATTTTCCGGATCCATGGATAGGAGCATCAGAGTGAGTGTTGTGTGTTTAGTGGGGCATCAGCTTGAGGAATATCTAGATCATGAGGCCCACACTGATACTCAAGGGCCACACAGCTGCTGTGGTGTGCCTTGAAGCCACCGCAACGCGCCTCTTTTCCGGATCCATGGATAGGAGCATCAGGGTAGTGTGGAGTGGACACTTTCGCATCAGAGTGGTTGTATAGAGTGGGTATAGGCTAAGGGTATAGTAATTTTATGGTGAATGTATAGTGAGTGTATAGTGCGTGTATGGTGAGTGTATGAAGTATAGTGAGTGTAGAGTAGTACAAAAAAACAAGGCTCCTCACTTCCGTTCCGTTTCCCCCACCCATCCCCCCTCCCCGCAACGCACAATTCCTCCCAATTCCTCCCTCACCCTTGTGTCTTAGCAGATCTGGGATCTCAGCACGGGAGCATGTGTGCACATAGTGCCAGCTCACGATCATGTGGTGATGGCGCTGGTGGCCTGGCAAACTCACCTGCTCTCCTGCTCGCTGGATGGGACAGTCAAGGTGGGCTGTACGGGGTTTGAAGGTGGGCTGTGCGGATTGGGAAGTGATCGGAGAGGGTTAGGGATTGTAAGAGTTGGGGTGGGGGGATACTCGGCCTGTATACCCTGACACACAGGTATGGCCGTTGCACCAGCAGGAGGAGTGAGCATCGATTCGGCATTCATTCGCACTCTTTTTTTTCGTAACACACTGTTAAACCCTAAAATTCCCTTGACAGGTATGGGCGCCGTCAGCAGCAGGACAGGAGGGGGCGCCATCGACCTTGCATTCACTCGCACAGATGCGGACGACAAGGGAGGCCGCCGCGTGCATTCAGTCACACATGTTTTGACTCTGCAAAACCCAAAAATCTGCACATCTTTCCTACAAGTGTGGGAGCGGTCAGCGGCAGGAGGGGGTGCCATTGACCTTGCACTCACGCACGCACACAGATGCGGACGACAAGGGTGTCAGGCAGCGGCCAGACCGGCGAACCTGATGTATCGTTCAAACCCTGAACCCTGCACATCTATCCCTTCACCTTAAACAGGTGTGGGCGCCGTCAGCAGCAGGAGGGGGCGCCATCGACCTGGCGTTCACTCACACAGATGCGGACGACAAGGGAGGTAGCGGGCAGACCGACAGGGAACCGGACGTAAGTATCGAGGCACTGCTTGCTTTGGACGAAATCAAACGTTGGTTGTACTTTGTGTTTGGCATGTACACGGGTCGAACTGTATTTACACGGGTGCATGGCAGCTTTGTTTCGATCTCCAGCTCCTCTGGCCAGTCGTTCGCTGTGTGGGTATTTGTTTACTGCGTTTCGTATGATATGGTTGTCGTACGTGAACGACCATATCGTACGACAACCATATCATACGAAACGCAGTTAACAAACACCCGTGCATCCATGGTCGTTTGTTTACTGCGTTTCGTATGATATGGTTGTCGTACGTGCTATAGCCCTTACCATGAATCAATTTCTCACTTATCCACTACTGTATCGAATCACACTGCAATGCAGTGCATGCGCTTGCTTCTTCATTACGGCGTGTTTTGATATATGAACACTGATCACGTTGAACTCGAGGAATCGGTCTCTTTCGGGTGGTTATTATGACGGCATAAGGTCCCCCTCCCCTTCCCGCCCATTTCCCTGTTGTCTTCCCTCGCTCCGATGCAGGGAGCGCTGGCCATGAAAGTGAGCACAGACCTGGCAGGCAATCAGGTGCTCATGGTGGCATAACCCCTCTCCTCCTCGCCACCCTTTGTTCCCCCCATTCTCCTTCCACACGTCCCTTCGCCGTCCCTCCAGTGCAGGGAGCGCTGGCCATGAAAGTGAGCACGGACCTGGCAGGCAATCAGGTGCTCATGGTGGTATAACCCCTCTCCTCCTCGCCACCCTTTGTTCCCCCCATTCTCCTTCCACACGTCCCTTCGCCGTCCCTCCAATGCAGGGAACGCTGGCCATGAAAGTGAGCACGGACCTGGCAGGCAATCAGGTGCTCATGGTGGCATAATCCCTCTCCTCCTCGCCACCCTTTGTTCCCCCCATTCTCCTTCCACACGTCCCTTTGCCGTCCCTCCAACGCAGGGAACGCTGGCCATGAAAGTGAGCACGGACCTGGCAGGCAATCAGGTGCTCATGGTGGCATAACCCCTCTCCTCCTCGCCACCCTTTGTTCCCCCCATTCTCCTTCCACACGTCCCTTCGCCGTCCCTCCAATGCAGGGAGCGCTGGTCATGAAAGTGAGCACGGACCTGGCAGGCAATCAGGTGCTCATGGTGGCGTATAGCGACAACTCTGTTCGCCTCTACGACCTCCCATCGTACGTTTGAGCCTCTTGCTCAGATGCTTTATGAAAGGTTAGCAGGAAAGCAGGTGTCTCGCTGTGCAATCAGGTGCTCATGGTGGCGTATAGCGACAACTCTGTTCGCCTCTACGACCTCCCATCGTACGTTTGAGCCTCTTGCTCAGATGCTTTATGAAAGGTTAGCAGGAAAGCAGGTGTCTCGCTGTGCAATCAGGTGCTCATGGTGGCGTATAGCGACAACTCTGTTCGCCTCTACGACCTCCCATCGTACGTTCCCCTTGACCTTTTTGCTGTATATGTGTTGCTTCTGAGCATTCTCAAAGGTAATCAGGTGCTCATGGTGGCATACAGTGACAACTCTGGTCGGCTTCACGACCTCCTGTCGTACGTTCTGTTTCCTTTCTGTATTGTTATTTTTTTGTTTGTTTGTTTTTTCCTTGGAATGGCAAGGAGTTTTGAAATTGTTTGAATCACAAAAAACTCGCCCTAGGCACCCCATGCCATCTCGCATCACTTCTCCTACATGCCACATGTCACCCCATGCCACGTCATAACAACCAGGTTCACAGAGCGGGGGGCGCTGTTCGCGGTGCAGGAGGTGCGGTCGTTGTGTGTGGGACCCAGCGGTCTCATGTTCACAGGGGACAGTGCAGGGACCGTCAAGGTGTGGCGGTGGACGCAGTGAGAGTAGTGAAGTATGAAGGGGAGGAGGGAGACAAAGTACAGGAGATGTTAACGTGCACGATGTGCGATCGCTGTGTGTGGGGCCCAGCGGTCTCATGTTCACTGGCGACAGTGCAGGGACGGTCAAGGTGTGGCGGTGGACGCAGTGAGAGAAAAAGATCACAAAATCGTTCATGGTGCAGGAAGTGCGGTGTGGGGTCGAGCAGGCTCGTGTTCACCAGGGACAATCCAGGCATGGTGAAGGAGTGGCTGTGGAAGCAGTGAGGGGTTTAAGCAGGAGAAAGTGGGGGGAGAGGGAGAGGGGAGCTCAGGGGAGACCAAGTGTAGCTGCTGTGTGAATCTTTGGGAATTACTCACAAGGTGGGGCCCAATGCGGAACCAGCACTGGGACTGTGAAAGTATGGCATGGTGGTGGGCAGGAGGGTTTTAAGACAGGTGCGATGCGGTGCAGTGCAGTGCAGCCTTCAGATGGAGCAATGATGAAATTGTTGAGCAAGGCAGGGGTCAGGACTCAGCCAGCTTACTAAGGCTCTGTAGCCTGTAGCGATTTTGGTTGAGGGGGGTACTGCTACTAAGTGCTCGTTGGGAATGTGGTAGCACATAGTACTCAATGGGAATCTTTGGCTTGTTTAGACGGCAAATGTTGGAGGTTAAGGGTATGGTCACTGGTCCATAGGTGAAATTCAACTTATAGATATAATGATTTGCACTCGAACGGTACGCCGAATGAGGGTGGAGGGAGGAGATCGGGAGGGGAGATTGGAAGACTGACTAACGTACACCAAGCAATGCTGGACAATGAAATCTCAATATGCAGTAGATGAAGCGGGTTTGTTCAATTATATGAGTTTCAGTATGTACTGCACTGTAACACGCAGTCATTCAACCGCACTGCCAAGGCATTGAACCGAGCAAATCTGACATAAGGTGTGTCTCGCATGACTAATTACTGGTAGGCTGGGAATATGCAGCACAGCAGAACAGACTACTAGGCAAATGAAGGTGGCGAAAGGGGCGGTGGCAAGGCTTGGGAGTGGTTCGGGGAGAAAATGTAAGTAGAATTAGCTAGACCTTTCCAGAATGTACTAGCTAAAGAAAGAATTGTACCGTAGTTCCTTACACAAATCATACAGTATATCTAAGAGCAAGGACCTGAAGGGTGTGAACTGAGTAAATATTGGAATTTAATACGGTAACATACACAATGCAAGCAGGCTGAACCCTGTATCCATGCCCTACACCACAAACCCTGAACCAAGGAGCTTAAAGCACTTTAGATTCACACCAGGGGGGCACCATCATAAGGACGTCAGAAGCTGTTTGCCAGATACTGACGCCAAAAAAATGTGGGTATGAACCTGCGCAACTCATCCCAGCATTTCGCGAACCATTTCGTAAGCGAGAAAGCACGCAGCATTTGCAGGTACACTCCGAGCCATGGCAGGCCCGAACCCTCTGTACAAGCCCTTGACGCCCTCTGTGGCCCACACCTTTTTGAAAGCCTGTACTGTGCCAGTGTACTTGGGGTTTCTGCACAAGCGCATGGAAGAAACCAGCCGTCAAATGCAATGAATAAGTTAATCCTGCAATGACGTCAGTGACATCCATGTGGGGTCAGTGACATGCAATGTGTGCTCAATGGTATGCAGTGAGTAGTCAATGGTACGCAGTGAGTGGTCAATGGTACGCAGTGAGTGGTCAATGGTACGCAGTGAGTGGTCAATGGTACGCAGTGAGTGGTCAATGGTACGCAGTGAGTGGTCAATGGTACGCAGTGAGTGGTCAATGGTACGCAGTGAGTGGTCAATGGTACGCAGTGAGTGGTCAATGGTACGCAGTGAGTGGTCAATGGTACGCAGTGAGTGGTCAATGGTACGCAGTGAGTGGTCAATGGTACGCAGTGAGTGGTCAATGGTACGCAGTGAGTGGTCAATGGTACGCAGTGAGTGGTCAATGGTACGCAGTGAGTGGTCAATGGTACGCAGTGAGTGGTCAATGGTACGCAGTGAGTGGTCAATGTGCTGTGAATGACATGCAATGTGCTGTCAATGACATGCAATGTGCTGTGAATGACATGCAATGTGCTGTGAATGACATGCAATGTGCTGTGAATGACATGCAATGTGCTGTGAATGACATGCAATGTGCTGTGAATGACATGCAATGTGCTGTGAATGACATGCAATGTGCTGTGAATGACATGCAATGTGCTGTGAATGACATGCAATGTGCTGTCAATGACATGCAATGTGCTGTCAATGGCATGCAATGGGCGGTCAATTGAATGCAATGTGTGGGCAGAGACACGCAGTGAGTGGTCCATGATATGCAATGCAATATGTGATCAATGACATTCGGTGTGGGGTCAATCCATACTATGCAATGGGTGGGTAAATGTTATACCACGAATGGTGCGATGAGTCGTCATAGATAAGCAATCCTACCAGACTAATCGAGGGTCGTGCATAATTGCATACTAGACTGGCTAGTCCTGGCCGCATGTCCCCAACGCGGTGAAACCGGAATAGAATTGTGCCGGAAATAAAATCTACTTCATCATGCCGTTGCTCACCTGTAGTCATCTACTTGGATCATGCTCTTGATGACGTCAGTCGGGTACACTGAGGCCCAGAAGCACGCGCCACCCACGCCACCGGCAACGAGCAGAGCTCCTCGGCTGAGCTCTGAGGTGTCAGTTCCCCCTGCCATCAGCTGAATAAACAAGCACAAGAAAAGGAGAGTTGGTACAAATCCGAGGCAATTTGTATTGTGACTTAGTGAGAAGCGTGTGAAACAAAAGACGGGTGGGCGTGGAGCAGGAGAAGGGGAGAGATAAAAGGGGAGAGGGGAGGGGAAAGGAAGAGCAGTGCTGAATGGCGAAAACAATGTTTTGAAACTTTGATCTACCACTCATGTCTTCCAAGAAGAGTACACGGAAAAAGTGACTAGGTGTACCTGTGTACTCTTGGGTCTCCTTGATTCAAATATATTTCTTGCACTTTCATAATATTGGGGCGACTTCAGGCTGTACATTTCTCGCACATTTACAGTTCTTGTATCGTGGCTCAGAACGGTTTCACATGGTAAAAAGCGGTTCTCAAGGTTCACCGTCTTGCACTGTGACGAAACGAAGTTGACCAAAGTGAGCGTACAGAAGTTGTGCAACCTGACGTCGCCCTTAATTTGGTAAGAGTTGACCTGGAAATGACGCTAAAAAATCGGGCAAACCTCTGCGAGTGCTGGTGTTGTGGTTGCGACAATCTCAACGCGACAACATCATACCCTACGTACGCGCTATAAGCACCTGACGGCCCGTACAGCGTCTCACCTGTTTTGTCGCCTCGTATGCTCCGAACATAGCCGCATTTCCAGGCACCTCCCGCATCAGCGTGGGAGTGAGGCCCTTAAACAGCCCCAATGCGCCGCCCTCCGACCGGATGACGTGGCGCGCCACGTCTAGCGGGCCCGCGTAACGCGGCACGCTCATGGAGACAGTGGGCCCGCCACCAGCAGCAACGCCTGCAACAGCTCCCTGTTAAACAAAATGGAAAAAAAAGAAAATGATGTAAGGGCGGGTGAATACTTGATGCCGTTGACTGATACTATCCGGACGACTGAGGGACAGAGAGAAAATTGATTTCAGATGCATAACGAGGACAGCTCGACGGAACGCTGGTTCAGCATTGCCATGGTTTGAGAAACAACAGAAGGCGGAATTTTCAGAGCACACCGAATGGTGATAGATGGTACACAATTATGACTTAGAAGCTATAGACTTCAAGCCGGCCTTCACGAGCGAAGAAAGCGGAAATTTCATGAATGATCGTGGCATTACCTGGAGAGGAGCGGCCGCGAGAGCGCTTTGAGCTTGCAGCCGACACTTGATAAGCTCCGTTGGACACGCGACGAACGACACAGCCAGGCCGGCACCTCCGCCGGCAATCACCTGCTTCCCCACCGACAGCTTCTCGTCAGGGCTGCTCTTCAAAATCGCCTCCATCTGCCCGCGGGCAGTGAAAAGAACGGCGTTGAAAACGGCGACGGTGGCGAGAGGAGGGCCGATTCCCGCGTAGAGCCCTTTAGGGCCCTCAGCGGCTATAGTTTTCCGGACCGCGTCCATGGCGCCTGAGTACATGGGTGGTTGGCCTGGAGCCGGCTTGGGCTGTGCTTGTAGCTTGACCTTGATTGTATCGAAGGGATGGCCGACCAGAAGCTGAGCTACTCCTGCGAGAGTTCCGGCGGTCAGGTCCTTCGCGACAGCGCTGTTGTCGGAAGCCATGATCTCGTTGAAGGCAAGGAACAAGGCACAAACGAAAGAGCTATGTACAGATAGAGAACAAA